TGCTGTGCGATATGATGTGCTTCGACCTCAAGCCCGAACTGAGAAGTGTCCTTAGGCGTGTGTTCATGCGCATCGGTCCAGTATTCAATATAATGAGCGTTAAATAGTCACGGAGGAGCCTCAGCCAGCTGGCTAGTTGACTCGGCCATGTTAATAGATCGATCCTCTCCTCCCAAACTCCGAAACTCCCGACTCCCAACTCCCCTCAAATCGTAGTTTATAGAGCACTCAATTGGTTCCCTCGGCTTTGTTGTTATGTTGGCACTTATTCATACATATATATTTTTATTATATTTATAAACAGTACATAGGCAGAATGTAATGTTTATTAGGCTTAACAAGAAATGTTGTTGTTTTTTTATGTATAAACATACTGATGGGTATGCTATGTAAGGCTTTAATGTGTGCGTGTGTATAGTTTCCTTCAGTTACGAATTTGGATTTTGTTTTCCCTGGTGTAACCACACTTTAACATTCACCTATTATCGATTAGAGTGTAGTCTAAATACCGATTAAACCAGCATTATGTGCAGCCTGTATATTGCTAGTGTTAATTTAAATCAAAATCTATATAAATATATATATTTCAAATATACAATATAATTCTATTACCAATGCGTGCTGCGATCCATTGAATTGTTTTATTCTTCGATTGGACTCATCGTGCATATTAAGATCAAGATCAAGCTATGTGATCTGATTATAAGCTACAATCTATAGCATCACCCAAATTCCAAATTGTATTCAATTCAAAAAACATCACGCGTTTTTCAGTTTGTCCAAAAATCTACAACAAACCCAATTAAGTGCTTGGGAATGGGTGAATATTCTTTTGCAGTCTTTCGGCATCTGTCCAGTCTTTGGGCACAGATTTATGGCATTTTTATTACACCCGCCAAATGTGCCACGAATTTATTTAAATGATGGCGAGAACTTCATGATTTTTGGCTGGATATCGGCAGAAAAAATGGGTATTGGTCTTGGTGAAGCATCTTCACTTCGAAATGGACGCGAATGATTTGATCAATAAAATTTAGCAGACAATAAAAAGAAAGCACCAGTATTTAATGTTGAACATCGGTCGACGAATTTATTTTTAAAAACTTATAAAAATGCCTAATTTATGAGAAAATTTTATATAATCTCAAGATATTCTAGTCCCTGGCAAATTATTATTTTGTTTTTAGACTACTTAATTAATTTATAATTCATATGACAATTGATGTATTATATTAAAGGGACCTTTTTAAAAACAATATATTAAAAATTTTAGGGCACTTCTTACCAATCATTGCTAATATAGATCCTATTAAGTTTCAGCATTAATTACAAATTAATTAATTATAAATTAATGTTATTAGCGACAGTAAAATTAAATTTAATTTTAGCTAAAGGCCATTGGAATATCATAAAATCAATCAATTATTTAGCAATAACCGAAAGTTTAGTCTTTAGCGATACCTCTTTGATGGCCTTTAAAAATAATATTCTCTGTATAGAATGAGCTTATATCTTATTAGAGTTAGAGAGGCCTTTGGAATATTATAAAATCAATATGTTATACATCTTGAGAAAATTCTTATCCAATCATCACTTATTTAAATATAAATTTATTTCAGCAATAAACCAAAGTTAAAGTCTTTGGCGACAGCTCTTTAATAGCTTTCAAAACTAATTTTCATTACAGGGAATGAGTTTATACGTAGTCTGTTTAAGTAAGAGAGGCCATTGGAATATTCCCAGTCAATTTAATCGTTTTGTTTTTGCCAAAATTCGTACCTTAGTCAGTGTCCACATGACTCGGAGTGATATTTTTCGTGCTACTTTGTTTGTTCGCCGGTTAAATAAATCGATTAACACGCACCGCCTGCAAACTGCCCGAACCTGAGTTGATCGGGTAGAAATCAATGGGACTTTGTGCGAAAAAGATTTCTGGGATTGCTGGATTTCCGTATGTATTAAGTGTGTGAGCTGGAAATTCTAAGGCATATGCTAATAGATCTAGTTAATATGTCAATTTCAGTGGAAACTTAATCACGCTCTCGATTTCTGATTCGATTTGCGAAGTTTCACATTGGCAGGTGTTAATTGGGGGCGCTTACGTACATAGAGGAAGACAAATATTTTGTATAGATGAGTATCTCTATATCTTTACCACCTAATATCCCAAAAATCTCCGCCGAATCCCAGTTGAGCTAACAACAAACTTGGTTCGCGACCTTTGACAAGCCACGCAGTCACTTACTTTATATGCCTTATAAAAAGAGAATTATAGCGCTAAACAGTTGCTGGCATAACAAAATAAATGAAATCCTTAGCCACGCGTGTTTCCAGAAATAATTAAGAAATAAACATGATCCGATTATACGAGAGGTAAATAAGGCAAACAATGCTAGATTCGGGCCGTTCCTTAAAGTTTTTTATCGGGCATGATGATGATTAGCTAACAAAAGCGCAGGAATTTTGGTTTTGTGTCACTGAGAAAGTTCACGACTTGTCGCATTTACCTTGAAAAGTTGGTTGAACTGTCTGAAAGTTTTTCCATTTAGTTTAGTTTACTCGCGATAAAATTATAGTTAACTTCCTAAGATTAGATTTATCTAAATAAATGCCCAAAAATATTCCTCTGACATTTTTTAAAACTATTGTACTTGCTGTTTATTTTGTTTTTCTTGATGTTTATTTGTTTCGTACTTATTTTATGTAAGATAAATGTTTTGGAGATTTTATTCACAATGCCATAAATAATCTCATGTGCTCGACATTAAGAAAAGTTATATGAAAAAGGATCTTTATGGATATATAAACATAAATTTTGATAAGAAAGCAATGAAAAGATAATTATTTCATTGTTTTATGAATTTCAAATCGATTTATGGAAGAGAATGAATAAGCATATATGTGCACCAATTTCATACTTGTTAAATTAAAATAAAGCTTGGTGCTTTTTTAAAATTAATCAGTGTGTTTAGCTACAAAAATGATGAATCAGATGTGCTTCTTCTAAGTGCTCCCATTCCCGACCAAAAAACTTTGTACGTCACATGGGTTCAGTTAATTGCCATTAACAATAATTACTCGACCTTGAAGTGGGCTGTCCGAGCGGGAGCTTAAATCAAATTCCAGCCAGATACATTCCCATTTCCATTTTCATTTCCATTTTGCAAAAACGTCGAGCCGAATGGCAAAAGGCGGAAGCGAACGACTAGAAATTGCACGTGAGTTGGGGTCGATGAGATGATGGGGGTTGGTGGGTGGATGAGGGGGCTTAACAAGGGGGCAGAACGCTGTAAAGCGCAAATAATAATACATGGTTAATTAGAAAAAAAAACCAGCTCGGTATAGGGAAAAGTGGGCGATAAGATTTAAGCCAAGTGCAAACAAACGAAGATTTCACACGCGCCGACTTAATTGCGCATACGCAGTGTTGTCCCAGGGGGAGCAACAAAGATAGCGCTGATCAAAAAAAAAACGGTGAGGATACCAAAGTTGCCGAACAACAAAGTGCTTAAGTGTTAGTCTGTGAATCCGTGCAACCAATTTGACCCATTGTGCAGCGCAGAGAATACAAAACAAAAGCGGCGCAGAATTGAAATTAGTGACAAATTTTGTGCTTAACTCGCTGAAGTGGCTTCGTGCTATGCGGTGACTGTGCCCAATGGACTAATGGAATAACATGAGCAGCGCGTTGATGGAAATTATGGATCCCTTTGCCCCCATGACCAGTTCCCACCTTCTCATGCGAAGGGAGAGAGCAGTTCCCCTCAAAAATGCTGCGATTAGCGTGTCGCCACCACCAGGCCCATCCCCATTTCCCCCACCACGATCCATCCAATATGTGTATATATGGAGATATATGTACATATATGTAGATCTGTGTGCGTTGTCGAGCGCGCGATCGCGATCACGCTTTAAGTCCCACAGCACCAACAAAAACAATGCACAAAAGTTCAACAACAAAACCGAAACGAAAAAATTAAAATTACCGCATGTATGGAGCAATTTACAAAATGTCTAGGCACAGTAGAAGTAGTTGAGCAGTGGTCGATCTCCAAAAGTGATACCTTTGCCTTTTATATCATGTTCTACATTTCCAAAGTGTAAGGTTAAAAACTTAAAAAGATAACGCGAATTCTTCAGCATAAAGGAAACCTTGCAGTTTCTGTGGATTAAATCTTAATAATAATAATACAAATTATTGATGTGTATAAAAAACAAACTTTTAGATATAGATCTGGTCACTGTAAATTTAAAATAGATTAAGTTATTAATTATATTTAAAACCCTCTGTTAGAAAATGATCTGATTACAGTAAATACCCACTGTGAATTCATACATTTTAGTTACAAAATTCCAAAATACACTTTATAACTAAAGTAGCCCACTTAACCGTAAATAAAAATCCAAACAAATTCAAGCACCTAGAGTTTTAAATAATAACCAACTATCTTTCTATCTATATTTGCTACTGAAACTCCTAGAAATTGATCGATCGTGCTTGACAATAATCGATTAATGTTATGCATTGTTGCCTTTCCTTACATTTCCGCTTTCTGACCACCGATCCCGCCCAGCACTCAATCCAGAGTCAAGGTCAAGTAGTTGGATAGTGCAAATAAACCAAATGCTTAGTGTTAGAGGCTCTGCGAAAACGAAATCGAACTCATTACGTATGCGCCCCATTGTGCCGGAGACGGAGACTCAAGTGCGGCCAAACTAAACTATTGAACCCGGCGGCGCGCTGTCAACGGTTCTAATGACGCCGTTGTGGTACCGCTCTACCACCCCCGCCCCCCTTAACCACTAAACGGCTTTGTGGGGTTAAGCAGTAGTTTAGTTCACTGGCTCAACCGACGACTTTCACGCTCTCCGGTGCTACAGTTTTTGCCCATATATTTTTCTCTTTCGCTGCCGCCGCCGCCGCTGCCGCTCGTAAGGTGCGTGCTGCCCGCTTTGACGTCGCTGCTGGTTTCGAAGTCAGCAGCGCTGTCCCGAGTCCGGTATGGCAGTCTACAATCGGCGGACTAACCAAACAGTCGACGTTCCACTCCGCTTCGCGATTCCACTGCTCTACGCTTCCATAGAATCCCGCTTACCCGTATACATATAGGTATTCCCTATAAAGTAAACGGAGCGATCCCCAGCGAAAGTCAGACGCGTGCCATCAACCGCGAGTGCAACATCCCTTAGAAACTCAAGGATCCCACAGGATATATAATAATCTTAGCTTCAAGATGAGCCACCACTGGGGATACACCGAAGAGAACGGTAAGCGCGCAGTTTCTGGGCTTGTTTGTTTGTTTGTTTTGAATTTTTGGCAGTGGCAGTGGTTGGTTAAGCAGCCTCCGGCGAAATCAAGTTCCCGCTTTCGGTTTGTTTACCAGTCTGGCCTTCGTCTAATCAGACATCGCCGTCTGCGGTGGCTCCAAATATTTTGACTCATATGCACACGCTGCGCATGCGTGTCTCGATTGGCAAGATTTTTCCCTTCCTAAAAGGAATTTCCATTTATCTTTGGTGCAAAATGTTATCTTTGAGGAATTTTTAATCATTTTGTTTTTATGACAAATTTGATCTATTTGACAAGAAAACGTCACGTTCCCGAATCAGACAGGGCTGTAAAGCGATAAGATATTGGCTAGATAAAGATGTAGGGGTAAACCTAACCCAATAAAATGCCAAAACAATCAAGTTATCAGAGCAAAGTGTGAGTAAAAGCTCAATAAATAGCCAATTAGTCAGATAATTTTACTCTTAAAAGCATTCATTCTAAGGGTTTAGATTACAGAGTAGACAAAAAAGTAGGGGATTACTTCGCTGTATTCATTGCACAATTTTTGAAATGCCCTGCACTTCGATTTCATGCCTCATAAGCTGAAGCGCACAAACAGACGACTTGGACACTAATGAATAATGGGCAGTAATTAAAATGCAGGGGAGCGGGTGCCGGGGAGCGGGTTTTTGTGGATCGGGGAGTTTCGCACGAGCTGGGTCTCGTGATCGTGATCTGGTGCTTCCCAGTAGCCAGTAACCAGTCCCCGGCGGAGTCAACCGCCTCGACTGCCGAACCGCAAAACGAGTTCGACTTGGAATACACACCACACGGTCTATGGTAAAAATTCTCCACCGATCGATTGTTTTCTTGCCTTGTCTCTGCTGTTTTTGTGTTTGGTTTCTGAGCACCAGGTGCCCCTCGCTCTTTTCCGCTATGAAGGTTAGTCAAGTGCATGTTCTTCGTCTGCTAAGGACACATGACCGGTTCCAATGTCTTGGGCGTATACGTAATGCGATATATATATATGCACATAACACTAATGGACTACATAGTTGCGTTGCCAACATATCAATTCAGAAATCAAAAACTTCAATTTTTGACAATTTCAATTGATTTGCTTAACTGGTTGTGATTGCTCTGATTGATTTGATTTCGATTTCGATTCTGATACTGATATTCTGATTTTGTTCTGGTAACTTTCCAAGAAGAACCTTATCAGCGAGCTCCTCCTTCAGAGCCGAGATTGTCCATTATTAAGCATGAGAAACTCTTCGCCATATATTCGTATTTTAAGTACAGTGATAAAAAATAAAATTGTAAAAAAATAGCTTATAGCATGTTTAAATTAAATGCAAAATCCTCAAACTATATACAATGCATATTAATGTGCATGGTTTAATGTTGAAATTGAAAATTATTCTTATTTGTTTTAGAATCATTAGGCTTAAGTTTATTGTGGTTTTAATTTATATTAAATATTTCTGATAACAAAATCTGTTTCGAAAATAGTTACAGTTCAAATTTAAAATAGAGTGCAATGTTGCTAAGCTTGAAGTGGTTATAAAATAGTGGGATTTACTATAGGTTTTTATCAGTGTAGCGATTGTGTGATCAGTGCAGCCACATCCATCCTTATCAAATCGCACAGGTTGAGTCTAACCCCTGGGTACTTTTAGAACTGTCTGAATGGTCAGCGACACGCTTCCATCTGGACACTATTGATTACAGCTCGCGTGTTTATGTGCGAAGATCGATCAAATGTCCCGAAACCGACTTCCTATCTATCTATTAGCTGATTAAATCGCCAGTGCCGTAACTACATTCTTGGTTTTACTGGTTCAAACCGCAACCCTCTAATGTCTATATCTTTATGGAAACTTAACTTTATCTGGCGATGATAAACCCATTTTTTAGTGTCTATATCATTAAATTGTCATAGTCATAATGATCGATGGATTTATAATGTTCTAAGATGATATATTTCGTGGTGACTTATCAGTTTCGCGGATAGATCAAAATTACTTACGAAATAATTGCACCCAAATTAATACCAAAGTTCACTTTGAGTACGTTTTTTATATGCAATTTACTGATCAGATCAAATCCAGACCCCTTCATAATATTCAATATTTATTAGTGGGTTGGAAAAACAAAAAATAGAACTGCGAAAAACGATCGCTCAGGCAAAGGAACGTGTGGAAAATCGTCAGTTTGATATTATTTTTGGCCAGCTCTTTAGATATAACACCTGATTTTATTGGGCGCGCTAATAAAATTATTTCGATAAATCAGATTTTATTTATATTGAATATGTATATATGATATATATGCCAATGGGTTGGAAAAATCATTTTAAAATGTTCGGATTTCAGACGTGACCAAACATCTGAAAGGGAACATTTCGACGAGGCTTTTCATTAGGCCAAAATGCATTTCGGTTACGTACTCCTTGACTTTTACGACAATTCAATTATTCCATTTGCAGTTTATTGTCGCCATTTCTCACATGCAAACAAATAATTACAGGCAAAAATTTTAGCAGGTGATTGAAGGGTTGGTTGGGTAGCTGTATAGCTGGACGTTAGATAAATGTCGTGGTAAAAACCAAGGGTAGAAGGCATTTCTGGGGCTTCTTCCAGCCAAGGTGGCCGAGGGGGTTGTTGCTTTTTAGCCCGGTCAATTGGGTGGCTATAAAAAGCAATATAGTCCAGAGACAAGTTATATATCATCATATACTGCCGCCTGACTCACAATTCGACATTCGGTGGGGTGGGTACTTTCCCCCAACCAGTTTTTGCCAGTACTTCCTTCCGATCGTCCCGAGGAAAGACAAAAAAACACGCAAATAACTCATGCCTCCCTCCAATTTGGATGATTTTATCATGCAAGGCTCGCTTAGAATCGCTTAGCTCGTAAATTCGTAAATGCTAATTGCTAAATTTTATTTTGTCGTGTTTTTTAAAGCTCTCGTAACGCGCATTTCTTTATTTGTCTCCAGGGTTTTATATACGCTTTTTATTTATTTAAATGCCGAAATACATATTGTGTTAAAATTGCTTTGTTTGTGACACACAAAACTTGTTTTGGGAACATCCAGAACTCGAGACTGCAACGCTAAGGAAAATCTTTTATGGGGAATCGAACGAAAGATCATTATAGATTCCGTTTGGCGGGGTAAACGTTTCCGGAACAAGTTCTCTCTCAGACAGCTTCGGGTTTTTGTTTTTGTTTGTTTTTTGCTTTTCTATTGGGGCATTTACGGCGATATGGTTGTGGGTAATTCATTTGCAGTAATTCAATTAAAAAATCATTTGGATTTTATCACAGCATTAATGGTCACAGTTACGCTGCGGCTTTTGTTCTCTGTCATCCAAATTGAAACAGAATTAAGTGTAAAACGATGATGAATTAGTTGAGGAGTGTACGAAAAGAGCGATAAGAATTTGCCGTTAGTAAAGTGGCTAAATAAGTAAAACAAAGGCTCGTTTGATCAGCTTCAAGGGTCGCATAATGCCAACTGGTTATTTCCGATCTCACTCTGTGTTTGCACAACTGTGCCATTTCCTCGTATTTGTTTGCTTTCTCTTACGCTTTTTAAGTCTGCTTATTGTTATCACAGGCACTGCGAAAATGTCGCCAGGTGATCTTAAAGTATTTACGGCCAAAGTCAGCAGCAAATTTCTTAGGTAGACAAAGACATTGTGCCTGGGACATTTAAATCAACAAAAGCTTCGAGTTCATTATTTATTTATAACTCCGATTTCGGAGATTTATTCGCCTGCTGATTGTTGATTATAAAAGGCAATGTGTTAAATACGACCGGAAATTTGCACTTGCCTGCTAAGTTATGAAAGGATCGTGCATCCAGTCTCTTTTATATGCCCAACACGGCGTATACGTGACTTTCATACGACATGTGGGCCATGCTAGTCACATGCATAAACTTTTTGCACCTAGAGAACTTTATTTCGGCTTTGATAAATGCATTTCACCTGACTCGGTTATTTATTATCAATATTTTATGGAGGACTTTGGAAATCAGTGAAAGAAATACTAGAAGCAACAAAGCTGTTGACACCTTGAGCCAGGCGATCTATCAAATGACAAATGAGGCTTTGCCCGGCGTCTTTGGGTTAGATAAGAATCCCCTGTCTGTTCCTGGGCAACGTAACCAGCCAACCAGCTAAACAGCTAACACTGTATTGCCAGGGTCTATAACTTTTGGTCTGGTTTAGACAAACAACAACCCCACACCCAAGACAACAGAACTCGACCCAACCCAACCCAAGTCGACCACACATTTGCGGTTTATCTGCAACAGCGATCCTATCACATGACTTGGGCCTGCGGTCTTCAGAGTGATTTTACTGGCACGTGACGTGGTTCTCTGTGTCAATATTTGCTATGACTTTGCACACCACCGCCAGTAATTAAAAAAGAATCCACATACACGCACATAAATCGTAAAATGCAGCAAACAGGGGAACAGAAAATTGTGCAAATACTTGTATTGCCTCAGCCGGTTGGTCAGATAAAAGGTCTATGCAAATATTATGACTGCCAGTTGAGCAAACGCTTAAGTTGGCGACATATTCATAAATAAGATGCTAAGTCAATGCTTCGGCAAACACAAGTAATATTCAGTCATAAAAATGCCAAGTACTCAAATTACTTTTTATTCATTTACTCATTCTTAAGTCAAAGTATCTTCTCAGTTGAACATGGTAATTCTTTTAATTTATTTTTATTATTATTTTTTTATTCAAATCCTATAACATTTTATTTCATTATTTTTAAGTTAACATTCTTATTGCATTAAATGTTGTTAAATAAACTTAATGATTTATTTAAATGATATTGTGGTTATAAAGTTATCTACATGAATGCAAGAAATAAATCGGGGACATATTTTATTTGTATAATCAAACAAAGAATAAGTTACTGTATGTTTATTCTGAGGATATCATGGATTAAATTTACCATCAAGATTTGACAACTTAACCATTAGGCTAGCCATAACTATCCCCAATGGAATACTTAAGTGAATTGATTTAAGTTAATGTGTTGTTTCTTATCGACGGATTAGCGCGTAATTAGGGTTAATTTGGGAGAACAAATACCTAATGACTTTAGTTGAAGTGTACTTATCCCAGCAATATTCAATATTCTTCTTTTAGGACCTGCCCACTGGGCCAAGGACTATCCTCAAGCTTCTGGACATCGCCAGTCGCCCGTGGACATCACGCCCTCCAGCGCCAAAAAGGGCAGCGACCTGAAGGTTTCTCCGCTCAAGTGGAAGTATGTGCCGGAGCACACAAAGAGCCTGGTCAATCCTGGTAAGCACCATAATGATAATTAATATTCGTGGGATTATATGCAAAAACATTCCATTCAAAGCGAATTTTGAGTTAAATGCTTTTAACAGCATTATTCGATTAAGTTGAATATAGTTATGATTTAATGAACACATTTCTATCCAGTGGATATTTTTATAACTCCCTATTTTCCTCATTATTTTTAATAATGTTTTTAATTCCTCGACTTTTATTTACAAAACAAAACAGAATGTATAATAAGTAATGTGTTACCTCTTATTAGTAATAAATTATTGCTAGGATGATAAAAAAGGAAATAGTTAAAATAATATATGGCTATTAATTGAAAAATTCCATATTGAATATAATAATTAATTATAAAGTCAGAATACTAAATACAATTCATATTAATTTGCGTGATTTAATAGTTAAATATTTGTATTATACAAAAATTCGACATGAATAAATTATATTTAAAATAAATATTTCAGAAAAAATGTCAAGTTTTTTAAAAAACATTTCCATTTTTTTTTTAACATTTCCACTACAATTGCTAATAAATTATGTTCATTACTTACAGGCTACTGCTGGCGCGTGGATGTGAACGGCGCCGAGTCCGAGCTGACCGGCGGACCCCTGGGCAACCAGATCTTCAAGCTGGAGCAGTTCCACTGCCACTGGGGCTGCACGGACTCCAAGGGATCCGAGCACACGGTCGACGGAGTGTCCTATGCCGGCGAGCTGCACCTGGTGCACTGGAACACGACCAAGTACAAGTCGTTTGGCGAGGCGGCAGCCGCTCCCGATGGCCTGGCCGTGCTGGGCGTGTTTCTGCAGGCTGGAGAGCACCATCCGGAGCTGGACAAGGTGAGCAGCCTGCTGCAGTTCGTCCTGCACAAGGGCGACCGCGTCACCCTGCCCCAGGGCTGTGATCCCGGCCAGCTGCTGCCCGATGTGCACACCTACTGGACGTACGAGGGCTCCCTGACCACGCCGCCCTGCTCCGAGTGCGTCATCTGGATCGTGTTCAAGACGCCCATCGAGGTGTCCGACGACCAGCTGAACGCCATGCGCAACCTCAACGCCTACGACGTGAAGGAGGAGTGTCCTTGCAACGAGTTCAACGGCAAGGTGATCAACAACTTCCGTCCTCCCTTGCCGCTGGGCAAGCGTGAGCTGCGCGAGATCGGGGGCCATTGATTTCGCTTAATGAAATGGTCATAATCCCTGGATAGTCAACGGATTCGAGTCGTATGATTAGCTGTTAGCTGTTAGCACCCACACATCACATCCGTACGCCTCGGACTGGACCGGCACATCCCACTGTTCAATTCTCGTCTTAGTTCGTACTCTCAGCAAGCATACGAATATACCTCCTATATGTGCATTCGTATCCGCATCCGCATCCGTATCCGTATCCGTATCCGTATTCGCATCAGTGGATGTGTAGTTGTAACCTTAATTGTTAATGTACGCCTGTTCGTTTGTTTGTTCGTTAAACGTTTGCAAAATGACAATTAGATTAATGTTATTATGGTATTATAAAATAAATATAACACGCTTAGATGTTGCATATGATGAACCAGTGTGTGTTTTAATTCAAGGGTTTCTTCAGAGAAATTGTGCAAGGAAAATTCGCTTTGACAAAGACCCTTTCATTTGGTTCCACGGAAACATATCCATATTGGGTAACCTTTTCTTTATTTATGTTCCATAAGGCAACGTAAGCACCATCTCTTCTTGAATTTGGTTTTTTGGGAAATGGGTTGCTAAAATAAAAAATAGGTAAATCAGTTAAGATATCAAGTATCAGCAGGATTTATTCTTACCATTTCTTAAAAAAGAAGAAATTCCTATCCAATAGCAACTTTAAATGTCCGCTTGATTGATATATAAACATTTGAAAGCTTAATTTGTAGAACTTTATAGTTCTCATTCTCGTTTAATTGGCTGTTTTTTGCCTTTGTCATTTATTGGTCATTGGAGTAAAGTTTAGCAATTCGTTTGGCTTTTTGGTCCACTGAATAAAGTATTTATCTTTTAATTGACGCCAAGCCATCTGGTAATCTGCAGCCAAATCTTTACAGGAAGCATACGTCATAGTCTCCAGATTGGAAAAGTTTTCATTAAACTTTTCGCAGAGCTTTGGATTGAATCTAAGAATATCCAAAAAACTAAGGAACAGATTGTACTTGCTGACTGCTAAGGCAGCTTGTGGAGTGTTCATCTTTTTTTTGGTCACCCCTTGGCGCTTTCCATTTACAGAGATTTCATAGGGTCTGCATATAAAGAAAATAATTATATTATTATGTTAGGGAAATATTTTGAGAGGACTTACCTTAAATCCTCAGTAACTTGAGACCAAACTAAGCCATTTGGCGAAGGCTGCCAGTCGGAGCGCTGGGAAAACTCAAAGGTGATGCCAGAATCTATGCGAATCTGTGGTTTTTGGGGATGGAAGCGATCATGGTCAAAGGACTTCGCCTCCCAACGTTTAAAGATGGCTCTTTCCAAGGATTCCAGCTTGGCATCTTTACAGCAAAAGTTTAGGCTACTGAAATAGATGGGTTTCGAGATCAGGGAGTCGAGTAGAGCTCCTTGCACTCCAAGGATATTCCAACGGGCAATTTTATCGCTGCAGGACATGGACAAGGTACGTTCTCCACGTCCTGGTTTGGTTCGCAGGACTCCCGGCGTCTGCTGCATTGGATCTTCATCATCTAGGTCACCTATCAGCTTGGCACCTGTATAGACCATCTCGGATTCCTCATCCAGTCGCTGGCGTTTAGCCTTTACCTCTGGCTCCTCAACATCTAGAATGCAGGCATCTCCGCAAGGGGTTTGGGTACTTAGAAAGTGAAACTCCACGTGCTCATCCAAATCGTAGCTATTTAGGTCACTGTTCCACCGAAAGATCCTCTCCTGCTTCAGTTCCCGATATAAAAAGCGGAGAAACGCCCGTCGTACCAACACCTCAGCATGGGAATCGTTAAGAATAAAGCCCTTTGGACAAAGTTTGGATGGTCCTATGCACTTTGTTCCGCATCCGAGGGCCACCAGTTGACTGTTCCTTGTTTTCCGGTTAAACTCCAATATTCCCGCCAAAACTGTCCATTGGTTGGCAGTGGGTTTTCCCGTTTTGGGCAACGATTCGAATTTTTCCAGACAAAGCCTAGCTATGTCCTGAATGGACGGTTTATTTTCCGTTGTAGGCATTAAAAAAAAGAGGGATTTCGGGTTGTTTTAATGATTTTAAGCTGTTTTGGTAAATATAAACATTAACTCGACAACATTTCACAATACCATATATTCGATAGCTCAGTACTATCGTAAATCGATCAGCAGCTAGAAAAAATACCGAATGTGTTTGAAATGCATTTTCAATCACAAATTTAAACTTTGCCAATATCGTTTAACAACTGCAGTACTTGAAATGAGTAATAAATATAATACATTAATAATTAAAAATGTACGATTTTAGCTTAAAAATGAGTCCATAAAGGAAGGAATTTAAATATTTAAAAAATTTTAAATAGCAAGCGCTCAGTGGGAACTGGGTATTAAATTAAGTGCACTTGATGCGTTTTCTGAACGGCGTGATTTGGTCACACTGTTCGTTTATTTACATTTTCATGCGTTATTGAAATCGGTGGAATTAGCTTAATATAACAATAAACAACAAACAACCATGCCCAAGGTAGTATCGCGTAGTATCGTATGCTCCGATACCAAGGATCAGGAGGAGTACAATGAGGAGAAGCCCCTAAACATTTACTACTGCCTGTGCAACAAGATGGCTTTGATTCTGGGTAGGATTAACTAAAATACTCAACCAGAGATGGTCATTAAATTACCCTGTTTGACAGACTGCACTCTGGACCAGTTGCCACTTCGGGAGGTGGACAATGCCCGTGTAATAAATGCCAACGACCATGCCAACAAACTCACCTACAATCCCACGCCAAAGATGATCTACATAAAGCGGAAAAGCAGAGGCAATGCGATAGAGAAGCAGTATCGCTATAAGGTGAGCTTATCCATAGTACTTTTGCTGTACAACCCACTTGATTAAATCGTTCTGTTTCAGTGCCGCAGCTGCAATCTGCCACTTTACTATCGCCACAGCCCCGACTCCCAGGTGACCTTCATCATGTTCAATGCCCTGATCCGCAACAAGGGCGAAAGTCCTCTCAGCCAGCTCTTAAGTTCCGAGCTCAAGGGCAGCGCCAAAGCTGCAGCTGCCAAGCCAACTTCCTCGGCGGGCGGAGGTGAGGATTCGGGCATAGTGGACGCCAGTGGCAAGAAGGTCATGGTCACCAGGCACACCAAGAACATGGGCAAGTTCAGTTCCGTCACGGTGTCCACCATCGACGAGGAGGAGGATGAAATCGAGGCGGTAAGTTGGTCACCGTTTACAGTTTAAATCTACCATGTAATCCCACCATATTAAACATTTTTTTCATTAAATAGCGCGAGATTGCCGACAGCTATGCCAACAATGCACGGATCATTGAAAAGCAGCTTCAGCGTAAGGGCGGAAAACTAAGCGATGTGGGAATCAAAGGAAAAACAGAGGATGCGCCTCCGCCGCAAAAGAAACAGCGTGGTACACTACTTGAGAGATAGTCTCTCTCTTTAAGAACACTATTTTAATACAAGATTTAAAGAAATCGAAACTATAGTATACGCAATTGTCTCTTTTTCCTATGCGATCCGCTCGAGCTTTGGCCAGTTGCAATTCAAAGGGAGTCTTGGGCAGGCTTAATAAATAAACGCACCACTGATTCCGCAGCTGGTCTACGGCATCGGAGTCCAAGAAGCTGGAACGTTTGGACTCCGTGGGATCCACCTCCGAACTCCTGAAATTACAAAATGCTGACATTCTACAAAAATCGGACTCTCAATCACTGAAAATTTAACAACAAACTGAAAGGCTTTATATTAAACACTATGACATTTCTAAAATATAGGCTCCACCGAGGATCGTTTAAGGGCAATACTGTTATTAGACGTCGGTTTATGTGTAAAGCCGTATTCCAAATCCCAAAAAACAAGCCAACTTTTATTGGAAACTCATTTTTTCAACAACTTAATAACTAGATTATGTGTGTTTGATCAAAATCGATAGTTAAAAATCTGCTCTTGGTTACTTAGGAAAATCTTTTAAATGTAAATAAAAGTCGGCAGGTTTATAAAATATATTCTGTCGATTTTACTGACTATTTATAAAGTCCAGTCACAGGCAGGAAAAGCAGAAAATGTACATTTAGAAGCCGTTTTACAAAAAAATATTTATAAATACAGTGAGTTATTCCAGTTTGAATTTAAAATCGCTTCTTTTTGCGCCGGGAATGCCATTCACCATTTTCGTCGCGGCTCACGCGTTAGTCAACACTAGCGAAGCCAACTTAACGTCATTGTTGTAAGAATTTGCAGAAAACAATATGGAAGATACATACATACATAAATGTCCCTAACAAAAAGAACAATTCTTAACAGAAATGTTATTAAAACGATGATTATTAACAGAATATGATTTTTTTTTAACATAAATGTTAACATTCTGTTAGAAAAATTACGATTTTCTCTGCTCCGCGATTGGTGATTGGAGGAGGAGAAACATCGATGCGATCAATTGCCGTCGTCTTTATAGATTTTCCAAATTAGTTGCTTTCTTTTATGTGGTCCCAAACAATATGAAAAGAATGCAAAAAGAGCTGCCGTAACCCTTGGTCGATGCCCAGGTTGCATTTCCAGAACTGTTCTTGACGATGGAGCCATAATCCATTGCCCTGATCAGTTTTGTTCAAAGTTCGAAATTCAAAATTCAAAATCGTCGATTTTGTAACGGCAATGTTAAATAGTCGTTTTCCTAACATTTCCTAACAGTGGAAAAGCAGAGTAGAGATGGGAAAACATCGATGTTGCCCCGAAAAACATCGATGTTGGCATCGATGTTTCTCCACCTACTGGCGATTTCCAAATAAATCGGTACCTAAGCCAAAAAAAAAAAGAAGATACATATTCTGAAAACAAGTGCTAAAAACTAAGTGAATCGCGTTTAAAAGGGTGCTCAGCGAAAAACGAAGTGTGCGAATTGCGATGCGACGCTCGCCCGGGTGATCCCTGTGCGCCCAGGTTCCGCTCGCCACCCGAATACAAATACAAATACAAACAACGGGCGGGGAGGCGCAGGAAAAGGCTAGGCGGACATCCAAGGTGCTCCACTACTCGACTGCTGCACTGCATCACTGCACCTGCATCCCTGCTCCACGGCGCACAGAATGTTCTCCGGAGCCAGCGGCCATGCCCACCACACCATTAGCTACGGGGGCGGGATCGGTCTGGGTGGCGCAGGAGGAGGCGGATCTCATGGCGGCGGTTCCACCAACCTCAGCGGATGCAGTGGGGCTGGCCTGCAGGACTGCGATGGCTACGACTTCACCAAGTGCGAGAATGCAGCGCGGTGGCGTGGTCTGTTCACGCCCTCGCTGAAAAAAGTGCTTGAGCAAGTGCATCCGCGCGTCACGGCCAAGGAGGACGCGCTGCTGTACGTGGAGAAGCTCTGCCTCCGGCTGCTTGCCATGCTGTGCGCCAAGCCGCTGCCCCACTCCGTCCAGGATGTGGAGGAGAAGGTGAACAAGTCCTTCCCGGCGCCCATCGACCAGTGGGCCCTCAACGATGCCAAGGAGGTAATCAACTCGAAGAAACGCAAGTCTGTCCTGCCCACGGAGCGGGTGCACACGCTGCTGCAGAAAGACGTGCTGCAGTACAAGATCGACAGCTCCGTGTCCGCCTTCCTGGTGGCCGTGCTCGAGTACATCTCGGCGGACATCCTCAAGATGGCCGGCGACTATGTGATCAAGATCGCCCACTGCGAGATCACCAAGGAGGACATCGAGGTGGTGATGAACGCCGACCGCGTCCTCATGGACATGCTCAACCAGAGCGAGGCCCACATCCTGCCCAGCCCCCTGTCGCTGCCCGCCCAGCGGGCGAGTGCCACCTACGAGGAGACGGTCAAGGAGCTGATCCACGACGAAAAGCAGTACCAGCGCGACCTGCACATGATCATACGCGTCTTCCGCGAGGAGTTGGTGAAGATCGTGTCCGATCCGCGCGAGCTGGAGCCCATATTCTCCAACATCATGGACATCTACGAGGTCACAGTCACTCTGCTGGGCTCTCTCGAGGATGTGATCGAAATGTCCCAGGAGCAGAGTGCCCCCTGTGTGGGCAGTTGCTTTGAGGAACTGGCCGAGGCCGAGGAGTTTGATGTGTACAAGAAGTACGCTCACGACGTGACCTCGCAGGCCTCGCGCGATGCCCTCAGCAATCTCCTGTCCAAGCCAGAGGTATGTTTCCATCTTTCCACTTAAGAAACTCCACTCTTAACCTTGTAATGTCTTCTTTTTAGGCATCATCACTGACCACCGCTGGCCATGGGTTTCGCGATGCCGTAAAGTACTATCTGCCCAAGCTGCTTTTAGTGCCCATTTGCCATGCCTTCTTTTACTTCGACTACATTAAGCATCTCAAGGATCTCAGCTCGTCGCAGGACGACATCGAGAGCTTCGAACAGGTCCAGGGCCTGCTGCATCCACTCCACTGCGATCTCGAGAAGGTGATGGCCGTGCTGTCCAAGGAGCGACTGGTCCCGGTCAGTGGACGAGTGCGCCGCCAGCTGGCCATCGAGCGCACAAGGGAGCTCCAGATGAAGGTGGAGCACTGGGAGGACAAGGACGTGGGTCAGAACTGCAATGAATTTATTCGCGGTGAGTGTGGGAGCAACAAATTTATGAAATGGGAATGAAATAAGTAGTAGGCTAAAAATAGGGATGGGTAAAATTATTTTGAAATTCCTTTTTTACATTTTGTATAATTTTAATTTATATATTTTAATTTATTGTTCTTGATTCATTCTGTTGCTTTAAAGACTAAACAGAATAAGCAATGCGTAATGCAGTTTAAAATCATAAACTCCCAAAGCAACTAAATGTACCTAAGTCTTATGATCTTTTAGACGCTTTTAATTCATTTCAAAATTGTTAGAAAACCACAGAACAATAAAACAAATATTGAGTGTAATAGAATACCCATCATCAAATGGTATATTCTTTAGGGTCCCTACATAAATTAAAGTATTATTGCATTTAGTAATTTGCCAATCTACATTCACAGAGGATTCGCTGAGCAAGCAGGGATCTGGCAAACGAATTTGGAGCGAGCGCAAGGTCTTTCTCTTCGACGGGCTGATGGTGCTGTGCAAGGCGAACACCAAGAAGCAGACGCCGTCGGCGGGAGCGACGGCCTACGACTACCGGCTGAAGGAGAAGTTCTTCATGCGACGCGTGGACATCATCGATCGGCCGGACAGCGACGACCTGAAGAACAGCTTTGAGCTGGCCCCCAGGATGCAGCCGGCCATTGTGCTGACGGCGAAGAATGCGCAGCACAAGCACGATTGGATGGCCGATCTGGTGATGGTGAACACCAAGTCGATGCTGGACCGACATTTGGACAGCATACTGCAGGACATCGAGCGCAAGCACCCGCTGCGCATGCCCAGCCAGGAGATTTACAAGTTTGCGGTGCCGGACAGCAGCGACAACATCGTTCTGGAGGAGCGCGAAAGCGCCGGCGTGCCGATGATCAAGGGGGCCACGCTGTGCAAGCTGATCGAGCGGCTCACCTATCACATCTACGCCGATCCGACCTTCGTGCGCACCTTCCTCACCACATATCGCTACTTCTGCTCGCCCCAGCAACTGCTGCAGCTGCTGGTGGAGCGCTTCAACATACCGGACCCTAGTTTGGTCTACCAGGACACAGGCGCAGCAGGACCGGGTGGCATCGGCGGCGCGGGCGGTGACAAGGAGCACAAGAACACCCACCGCGAGGACTGGAAGCGGTATCGCAAGGAGTATGTGCAGCCAGTCCAGTTCCGAGTGCTCAATGTGCTGCGCCACTGGGTCGATCATCATTTCTACGACTTCGAAAAGGATCCCATGCTGCTGGAGAAGCTGCTCAACTTTCTGGGGCACGTGAATGGCAAGTCGATGCGCAAGTGGGTGGACTCGGTGCTTAAGATTGTTCAAAGAAAGGTGGGTAAACTGTGTTTTATGTAAAGGTTTTACCTATATATTTTTTTTTAAATTACTACCTCCTTTGCAGAAAGAACAGGAGAAAAGCAATAAGAAGATTGTGTACGCCTATGGCCACGATCCGCCGCCCATTGAGCATCATCTAAGTGTACCCAACGACGAGATTACGCTGCTCACCCTGCATCCCCTGGAACTGGCCCGCCAGCTCACCCTCCTGGAGTTCGAGATGTACAAGAACGTGAAGCCCTCGGAGCTGGTCGGCTCGCCCTGGACGAAGAAGGACAAGGAGGTGAAGAGCCCGAACCTATTGAAAATCATGAAGCACACAACCAACGTGACCCGCTGGATTGAGAAGTCCATCACCGAGGCGGAGAACTACGAGGAGCGCCTGGCGATCATGCAGCGGGCCATCGAAGTGATGATGGTGATGCTGGAGCTGAACAATTTCAATGGCATCCTCTCGATTGTCGCGGCCATGGGCACTGCATCGGTCTATCGCCTGCGTTTGACATACCATGGCTTGCCAGAACGCTACAGGAAGTTCCTAGAGGAGTGCAAAAAACTCAGCGATGATCATCTGAAGAAGTATCAGGAACGATTGCGATCCATCAATCCGCCTTGTGTGCCGTTTTTCGGTCGCTACCTGACGAACATCCTCCACCTGGAGGAGGGCAATCCAGATCTGCTGGCCAACACGGAGCTAATCAACTTCTCCAAGCGGCGGAAAGTGGCCGAGATTATTGGCGAGATTCAACAGTATCAGAACCAGCCGTACTGCCTCAACGAGGAGCCCACCATTCGGCAGTTCATCGAGCAACTGGACCCGTTCAACGGACTGTCCGACAAGCAGATATCCGACTATCTCTACAACGAGAGCATGCGCATTGAGCCCAAGAACTGCAAGACGGTGCCCAAATTCGTAAGTTTCTCAATTCTAAGTCCTAACACCTAACACTTCATGAGATCAATTTCCATATTTCAGCCTCGCAAATGGCCGCACATTCCGCTCAAATCGCCGGGCATCAAGCAGCGTCGTCAGAATCAGTCCAACAGCAGCAGCAAGTTGGCGAACAGCACCTCATCGGCTGCAGCAGCAGCATCCTCGACGGCTACCAAAATAGCGGCAGCGCCATCCGTGCATCCGGCCAGCACAATGGAGCCACCGGCAGCGTCTGGAACGTCTGGCTCACTAGCCGGCGAACAAAGTCCGCAGCACAATCCGCACGCGTTCTCCGTCTTCGCGCCAGTCATCATACCCGAACGGAACACAAACAGCTGGAGCGGAACGCCACAGCACACTCGCACGGATCAGAGTCAAAACAACGGGGAAGTCTCGGTGCCGGCGCCACTTCTTCCCAGGAAACCGGCTGCGCATGTGTGGGCCAACAACGCTTCGCTGGCCAATGCCTCGGCCCAGGATGTCTTCAGTCCAGCGCTGCCGGAGCATCTGCCGCCACAGTCCCTGCCGGACAGCAATCCCTTTGCGTTGGCCATGTCCGACCCCGATGCCCCGCCCTCGCCGCTGCCCAAGCTAGTGGTCAGTCCGCGCCACGAGACCGGCAATCGATCACCATTCCACGGGCGCCTGCCGTACAGCCCAACGCACAGCATAGCCAGCACGGTGACCCTCACTGGAGTGGCTGGAGCCGGAATGACCGGCGAGGAGGTCAGCCCGCAGACGGGCGGCTTCTACTTCAACAGCGCCCATCAGGGACAGCCGGGCGCTGTGCCCATATCGCCGCATGTCAACGTCCCGACCGCCTCCAATCTGGAGTACCGCGCCGTTCCGCCTCCACTGCCGCCGCGACGCAAGGAGCGCACCGAGAGCTGTGCGGACATGGCCCAGAAGCGACAGGCGCCTGACGCACCCACAGTAAGTTACCAAAAGGGGAAATAGGTTGCAGATCGGAACTTAGTTAAAACTGTAATGCAAATGGCAAGATGGAGTACAGATTGATGCTTATATGAACCAAGTCGCTTGAATAGACTGTTGCTTAGACAGTGGAATCCCACAAATGAGGATTTAGGATGTAGCCACAGTCAGGGAGATCAGAATATCAGGATCATTAAATAACAAGGCCTACTCCTTAAACGTAAAGTGGAGTTATAAGTTCATCTAAAGTCTTATTTGTTCTTGTCATTCTCCTTGGTATAAGATTTAATTGGCATCTGGATTATAATATAGTACAACATGGTTGTTTAAACATTTAAAAGGCTCGAATTTATTTTCTAAATTATATTATACCTTAGAATTTTACACCATATTCAGCATTGAAAGATATAGAACTGATTGCAAATTATTAAATGCAAGTTAAATCTTAAAATGAAATATAACTTTTCTTTCTTTGTATTGTTCTTTTGAATAAGAGCTTAAGTTTTGTTAAAAAACCCACTTACTAACAATCCAGCGAGGTAATAGAGTAGGAATATTATATATAAACAAATTAATTCGACATGTAGAGTAATCCTCTGCGGCCTCTAGAAATATGACAAACCTACATAATCCTTAGTTTATACATTGTACTGATTTATTAATTAATAACTATCATTTTGCCTTCCCAGTTACCACCGCGTGATGGCGAACCCAGTCCGCCGCCCATACCGCCACGGCTCAACCATTCCATGGGCATGAGCTACTTGCGACACAGCCACGGCAAGTCGAAGGAGTTTGTGGGCAAAAGCAGCCTGCTCCTGCCGAACACCAGCAGTATTATGATACGCCGCAACTCGGCGATCGAGAAGCGGGCGGCGGCAGTTGGCCAGCAGTCGGATCCGGCTGGGATGGGGTCCATGGGCACCACGCTGGTCACGGTCTCGCAGGCCATTGCCATGGACAGTGAACAACAGCAGCCGCCGCCATCGATCTCGCCCGCACTGAGCTCCTCGACGACCACATCACCGCTGACACCCGCCACACCCATGTCCCCCAACATTCCCAGCCATCCGGTGGAGAGCACGTCGAGCAGCTATGCCCACCAGTTGCGAATGCGGCAGGGCACCCCCAAACTTCCACCAAAACCTAGTCTAAGCGCTAACTTCTATAACAATCCAGGTGAGTTCACTGGCTGCCTTCCTCTCTTGAATGCTATATACATACTTATCAATTTATTTAATGCTTCGTAGATAAAGGTACGATGTTTCTTTACCCAAGTACAAACCAAGAATAATTTAAATTGCCTGGCGATGTGATAGGACAAAAACTACGAGTATGATCCGTATGATTCAAAGTTGCAGATATATATATATATATGAACGGAACGTGAGATATATACATACATACGTAGGCAGAGTTATGTATTCTAGTTGACATACATACATATGCGATTATGGACCGAGTTGATCTGATCTGATCTGATGATTTTATTATTCGAAACTCATTAAGCAAAACAAAACAAAACGAAACGGAACGAAATAGTCTCATTTACACAAGAAGCACAGCATATAAATACACGCAAAGCAAAGCAAACCCAACAGCAACAACAACAACAACAAAGGCAAAAAAGAAATTATGTTATTATATAATTATTATTATAAATATTTGTAAATATCGAGAACATTGTATTGATCGTAGAACGTAAAACAATAAAATATAACCCTATTGTTAGACAGTTGGCGATGTCTTTTAATGATTTCAATGGGTTTTTAATGTTTAACTCAAGGAAACTCAAATGAAATTAGATGTTGTCAAGGCTGTTAAATCTTTTTTGATTTACTCACACTCTTTTCAAATACTTTTCATGGTATTCCTTATAGGCACAGCGAACCGACCTTGAACTAACACATCCGATTTAATAGCACAAAAGCGGCATAACTTTACATCCGACTGCAACACCTGGCACACTCACAACACCTAGCATAATTGCCAATTGATAATCATTAGCATTAACACTAACATTAACATGTATTGCTAATTAGTTTCGGTTGGAATGAAAAACTAAGGCGATTGTTGTGCGCGAGCTAATTGTTGTGTGAGTGCATTAAATGCAATTAAATTGGATACACAGAATACAAGTGTGTGTATTTGAAAGCACTTCTGACTTTCGCTTTTCTAACGTCATGATCGTTGAAATAAAATGCTTCCTGAAATTTGGCCTGCCCGCTGGAACAGGTTTTTGTTTTTGGATTATTTTCGTATTTGCTCGCGAGCCCCTTATTATCGCAAGTTATTGGCGAAGTTATGGGTGCATCTGCATCCAATAAATTCCCCCCAAAAACCGCACTCCTCCTTAAAAGTGATGTGTCACATAAACGAACCGATTTGGATGTTCGGTAAAGTACCGAAGATTTCATTTTCAGATCGTACTGGTTGCCAAGGTGAACAAACCACTGAAAAACGTCATTAATGCAATTTAAGGAATCTCTCGCCTCGAAAACAGATCGGTTGGGCAATCTGTCATACGTTCAATTTGAATCCTATGAACACATTTCAATATATCATTGCAGACATTTGGGAAATTTTCGCTTAATGTGCACTTTTATTTATAGAGAAAGATACCCTATAGACAAGGCCATTGCCCGAGATCAGTTATGGATCTCATCTAGACACGATGATCTCGGGAGGCCTTTCGCTTTTCCCTCAACTTGACCAACATAAAAAGGTGGCAATTATCGGAAGCTACATACATAGTAGACGACGACCTACACCAACTTTTCTCGTTATCACGTTTCAATTGTGCAATTTGCAAAGAATTACTCAATGAATTTGCATTTAATGCATTTGATTGCAGCTAATGAGAGAGAAACCGCCATGGAAAATTGCCGGAGGAGACCTCTGCGCATAATCATCATGATAATCATCACATAATTGTATTACATGAGCATATCAATTAGCCAGCCAATTACGCCCTTCTCTACCAGCAATTTCTGAGAATTCTGCGATGAGTGGACCCAGGGAAGTCCCAATACCAATACCATTCCCATTCCCAGTCGCAATCCCAATCCCAATCCCGACCAGAACGAGAATCCACAGCCACGAGCCGACGACCGACCAGGTGGTGATCGGGGCAATCGCTCGGCTCTCGAGCGGCATTGTCTTTATGTAATGTAAGCGGCATTCGGTTTCTCGGATTCTGAACTGTGCAAGTCGGCGAGTTTTTATAAAAGCAGCAACAACGGCGCCCGTTCATTCAGTTCGACCGCGAGATCATTCAGAATCATTGTCAAGTGCAATCTGCAGCAGCAACAACAGCAACAGCAGCAATAGCAGCAACAACAGCAGCAGCAACAGGATCAGGAACAGCAGCAACATCATCTGTTGTACACCAGCAATCACCAAGTCTTTTACAGTGAAAACATTAGTCGGAAACAGCAACAGCAGCAACAATAGCAGCAGCAACAGGACCAGGAACAGCAGCAACATCATCTATTCCACGCCAGCAATCGACAGCAATCAAGTCAGAGCAGTAGCCAAATCTTTTACAGTATAAACATCAGTCGAGAGCCAACAAAATGCTGGCCAGCGAGACTTTTCCCACACATCACTTCAAGGAATCTATATTTAAGCCTTACAGTACGAGTACGAGTACGGTGAGTGGCGATGATTTGGCAAGCCCATTGACAGCGGCAACATCAGCGGCAACATCAGCGGCAACATCAGCGGCCACATCGGTGGTGGCCACGTCGTCATCGAATGATACCGCCTCCGCAGTTGCATTCGAGACGGCCAGCAAAATGTTGACCACCGCCAATGGGAGCAGCAATAACAATATCGACACGGATGCGAAGAATGACAACCTGTCCAGCTTTGTGGCCAGTCATCCGGCGGCCCACTTTGAGGGCTTCATCCGGGCCTGCGTGGACGAGATCATCAAGTTGGCCGTCTTCCAGGGCACCAATCGCTCCTCCAAGGTCGTCGAGTGGCACGAGCCGGAGGAACTGCGTCAGCTGTTCGACTTCCAGCTGCGTGAGAAGGGTGAATCGCAGGACAAGCTGCGCGAGTTGCTGAGGGAAACGATTCGGTTCTCGGTCAAGACGGGCCATCCGTACTTCATCAACCAGCTGTACTCGGGTGTGGATCCGTACGCCCTGGTGGGCCAGTGGCTCACCGATGCCCTCAATCCCAGTGTGTACACCTACGAAGTGGCGCCGCTGTTCACCCTCATGGAGGAGCAGGTGCTGGCCGAGATGCGACGCATCGTGGGCTTCCCCAACGGCGGCCAGGGCGATGGCATCTTCTGTCCCGGCGGCTCGATAGCCAACGGTTATGCAATCAGTTGCGCCCGCTACAGACACTCGCCCGATTCCAAGGTGAGTGCCCCTTGCCAAGTGGTTTACCGCCAAGGCAATCCACACGGAAGTCCGCAATCCGCCGACGACCGAAGTGATTGGCGTCAACACTGCTGGCCGGATCGTTAGTCATGCCCCTGTCATATGGGCAAGTGAAACTGAAAGCTATCAAAGATTCAATGGCATATATTGAGGCTTGACGAATTAAATAATTAGATTGGTATTTGTACACAAAAGAGTTGATTATCCTCATCGAAAATTAAGGTTTATACGTTCCCAAGATATATTCGTATAAAGAACTTTTAAAAGCAATAATTTAAAGTAAGTCAATTTGTGAAATATTCATATACATATGTATATGCCAAAGAAAAACTTAATGAGGCAAGCTTAACAAAAAGATAATAATGTCTGTCGTAAAATCAAATGGAACTGAAAGCTTTATATTGCCATATATTAAAGTTTAACAAATCAAATAATTAATATATTAGTTTTTGAACACCAAAGAGTTGATAAACTTTAAAAATAATGAATTCCCGAGTATATCTAAACATTCGCATAAATAACTTTGAAAAGCCATATTAAATGCCAGCCTGTTTAGGCAATTTGCTTGGATAGAAATTTCTTTATTAATTGTAAACTTTAATTTAAGTTTAATTATGTTTTTAAAAAGACCAAATTTGTGTTTTCTCAAAGTTCGCTTGGAATCGAATGTTTAGAATCTGTTTTTGCATATCCGATGTAAACACTTAAAGTAATATGTTATTAATAATATATAATATAATATTTATATGTATATAGTTCTTTTTATAATTTGTTACCCATAAATTTATTATGACTGTATATATATTTTACCTGCAGAAAAACGGACTCTTCAACGCGAAACCCTTGATCATCTTCACCTCGGAGGATGCCCACTACTCGGTGGAGAAGCTGGCCATGTTCATGGGCTTCGGCAGCGAGCATGTGCGCAAGATAGCCACCAACGAGGTGGGCAAGATGCGTCTCAGTGACCTGGAGGATCAGGTGAAGCTGTGCCTGGACAACAACTGCCAGCCGTTGATGGTGTCGGCCACAGCCGGAACCACTGTGCTGGGGGCCTTCGACGATCTGGCTGGGATCTCGGAGCTGTGCAAGAAGTACAACATGTGGATGCACGTGGATGCGGCCTGGGGTGGTGGTGCCCTCATGTCCAAGAAGTATCGTCACCTGTTAAGCGGAATAGAAAAGTGAGTTTCCATTTAAAACAATTTCTTTGAGATCAAAACTAAAGTGGGTTTGTTTTTGTTGGCAGGGCTGATTCAGTGACCTGGAATCCTCACAAGCTGCTGGCTGCCTCGCAGCAGTGCTCCACCTTCCTGACGCGCCACCAGCAGGTGCTGGCCCAGTGCCACTCCACCAATGCCACCTACCTGTTCCAGAAGGACAAGTTCTATGACACCTCCTTCGACACCGGCGACAAGCACATCCAGTGCGGTCGTCGTGCGGATGTCTTCAAGTTCTGGTTCATGTGGAAGGCCAAGGGCACCCAGGGCCTGGAGGCCCATGTCGAGAAGGTCTTCCGCATGGCCGAGTTCTTTGCCGGCAAGGTTAGGGAGCGACCGGGATTCGAGCTCGTCCTCGAGAGCCCCGAGTGCACCAACATCAGCTTCTGGTATGTGCCACCTGGTCTGCGGCAAATGGAGCGCAATCGGGAGTTCTACGACCGGTTGCACAAGGTGGCGCCCAAGGTGAAGGAGGGCATGATCAAGAAGGGCTCCATGATGATCACCTATCAGCCGCTGCGACAGCTGCCCAACTTCTTCCGCCTGGTGCTGCAGAACTCCTGTCTGGAGGAGTCCGACATGGTCTACTTCCTGGACGAGATCGAGTCGCTGGCCCAGAACTTGTAATTGGATGTGAATGGAGGTGGATTTGGAAGCGAAAGCATGTTATGAGGTTAAGTGTTGACAACATTCTCTTTAGGCCCAGGCCGTTTATATCTTCTAGTGTATCGTTTACTCCCCACGTTTGTATATTCTCTCGGATGTTAAGTATTACCTAAAAACAAAGAACAAAAATACATATTTATAGGTCATTTGATTTAGATTAAACTGTGGACTTTTATTGGGCACTGGAAAAGCATTTAAAAGTGCAAGTAAGAACTTTATTTTGAAATAAATGCCTTGAGGTAGATACTTAGTTTTATTGATAAGGTAAGACCTTATTAATTAAGTTAACTTTGGGCGTCTCTTTTTTTAAATATAATCAGATTAATTAAAACTTAATTAATTGACTGTCACTTAAATTAAATTAAATTTGTTTTCAACTGAATTAAATAGTTTGATTTAATGTTTGTTCCATAAAATTAATATTAACTGCTTTTTAGTTCTACCACAACTGGCTTAAAAACTTCAATTTGTTTCAAACTTATTTAGATTAATTTAATTTTTGTTTCTTAAAAAAAGGATTAAGAGGAACTAGTAACCTGACTTAATTTAGTGACCTCCAAGTCACTCTGAATTAAATAACAAATATAGACCAAATCGTGAGTACTTGCAAGCTAATGCTGCTTGATCCAACTCCATTGACTGACATCATTGCCGCCAGCTTTTTCGATTGCCTCAGCCACACTCAAACTTTGACCGGGTTGAATGCCATAGCCAATGCGCAGGCCATGCGGATTCGATGGCGTCTTGCAGTCCATGGTGCACTCTTTTCGCAGCACAGTGTCCACCTCGACAGAGGAAAAGAAGGCCACCGACATGGGCAGATCCTTGAGTCCGATGCGGGAGACGCAGAAGGAGCGCGTCATTAGGTTAGTGATGTGCATGGCCAGTGCCGCCTTGGGCGACAGCTCCTCCTTTACCAGGTAGCGCAGTTCGTCGTGGAAGCTCAGGCAGAAGCGAACGTGCGGTCCCATGAGCCACCGCATGCTGACCAGCATCAGGTGCAGGAAGTCCACGGCTCCGCTCTGGACCACCCAGTTGATACGGGTGGGCAGGAAACGCTGCTCCTGGTCGAGACCTCTATCCGCCTCCAGTGCGCGACTGAGGCGTCCGCCTAGGAACGGCGTCTGCGGCTGTGAGCCAGTGGCAATCTCCTCCAGCCGATTGAACATGGCGCTCTCGGTGCCGCCCTGCCAATTGGGACGATGGAAAACCTCGGCCAGGCTGCGATTGCGCTGGACAGCCAGTCGGGTAGCCTCGTAGCTGCTATAACTAAAATATATTTATAGATTTTGCTGTATGTATGTAGTTATAGAGGACTACTTACCCCCTGTCCTCCAGTTCATCGTGGAACTCCTCGCGCAACCTATACACCCTTTTGCCTTTTGTAATGGCAAACATTTTCATGGCCTTGGCCTTGGCTTCGGAGGCACTGAACGTGGGATTGAACTGGCGGAGTAGCGTCTCGGCAAACAGCTGACCAGCTCCGTAGATCCTGGCATAGTTTATCACCTTGGCATGATCTCGGGAAATGCCCACCGCCTTGGCAGTGATGGAGTGCATGTCGCTGCCATTCGACTTACTGCCGCTGAGAGTCATCCAGCCGAGGGGTGTGGCGCCATGCTCGCCACAGGCGTAGGCATCGCCCAGCACGGAAGCGATCCACAGTTCCTGCGAGTCGACATCGGCACCCACCAGCCTGTAGCCGGGTGGAGCCTGCACCATGGAACGCAGCTCCGAGCCCAGGCGATCAGGCCGCGAATTGGAGGCCGTCATCCAAGTGGGCTCCATGGCGCGGCGAGTCAATGTGCCGCAGGCCACAACCTGTGGGCAAATGGCTCCGTAGGATATCAGGTGGGCATTCTCACCGATGAGTTCCTCTGGCAATTGCTGGGGATCCAGCCAGACGACCATCTGACCCATGATCCGATCCCGATTGTTACGCCAATACGACATCATGCGAGCAATGTCGATGACGCGGGCGGCCGCTTGACAAGATGGGTCTCCACTGCTCAGAACGTTGTCGGAGAACTTGTTGAGGAAGTCCCTGGACAGAGGGTTTCCCACTCGAAACGAGGGTCCATTTTTGTGGGGCAACTTGAGGAAGAAGCAAGAGTCCTCCAGCACTTTGTTGCACCACACACCAGAGCCTTAAAATGAAGTTAGTGGGTAATTTTATAGTACTTTTAACATGAATCCCACCTTGGTACTGAGTTTCCAGGCGTTTCTGTTTCTGGGACAGCTTCTTGTAGTGCTCCCGCTTGCCCAGATGTTGTTCTAGGTCACCCGGTAGCATGTCTAACGCCAGATCACTCTCCGCCTTCGAGGCACATTGCCTGGCAAACTCTGGCACTGGACAACGCGCCAAAAGTTGTTCCATTGGCAGCTGGTCTGCTCCTTCCGAATCGCTGCGAAAGGGAACCAGGAAGCCCCATCCCTGCTCCCTCTCGTAATGCAAAGGATATCCTTCCCAGCAGAGGGAAAGCAGTTTGGGGGCAATCTGCATGCCGGTGCTGATTTCGCTGGCACCGGGAGACCAGGACTCCTGCTCCTCCTCCAGCAGTTCGTCATCCCTTTTGGAGTTGGATGGTGGCTTGCGGCACAGTTTGCGATACCACAGTGGATAACCGGGAAGCAAGGGTCTGCGAGCTGGGAGCAGTGCCCGCTGATCGTAGAGGTGCTGGAACTTGGCCTGCAGGCGACGCTGCTCGGCGGTATCCCCCTGATCCTCCCGTTTCTCCCTGGGCAAAGGCTTGCGCTTTGGAGGCTGCTTCAACTTCAACTCCTGCACACTCCAGTCCTCGTCCCAGAGCCACAGATTCTGGCGGTACTGATCGTCGAGCAGCAGGGAGCAGGCTTCCTCAGCCCGGCGTCCCAGATGGTACTTGGCCTCGATGCTGAGATCCTCGTAGGTGAGCTGCGCCTCGCGTATGTACCGCTCCCAGTTGGAATTCACGGGCAAATAGGCGGAGCCCATCTCCAACATGCCGGCCAGCGAAGCAGGATGCGGAAAGCGCTCGGCATACAGGGGATACAGGACTCGGAGCACCCGATGGGTGGCCTCCACATCGCCGGCACAGTAGTTGGTCAGCGACTGGAAGCTCTGGCGCACTTGCTCCAGCGTTCCCTCCACGAAAATGTTCCTGGGCTCCTTGGAGAGGGGCTCACCACCGCAGTACAGCTTGTGGACCTCCACCAAACTGTTGAGGGAGCTCTGCTCTAGCCAGCCAAGATCCTCGGGAGCCGGCTCCTTCTTGGACTTGAGCATGGCACGCTGGTAGCTGGTCACTCCACTGACGCACATGTGCAACGACATGGTGTCCACGAACCGTGTGCCCGTGTCCTCGATCAAATACTGCTCCTTTAGGCGAGCCCTGTCGTAGCTGACATTGTGACCCACTACAAGACCAGGTCCACTGGTTCCCAGGGGTATCAGTTCATCGGGGGAGTAGTGTGGTCGCTCTGTGTCCGTGTCCACGTCCAGGGGCTCCGATTTGGCCAGACTCAGGCGGTGTTTGGTGAGCTTGGGACTCACCCAGGAGTACCATCTCTTGGTGCTCACAGCGGTGGCCAGAACAGGAGTCTGTGCCTCCTTGACGCACACCTCCACATCGAAGATCAGACCCTTTTCCAGTGGGTGATCCACTGGTGTGGCTGTTCCATCGGCGGGATCATAGGCCGTCCAGCCGGCAAAGAAAGCCCATCGCTTGGGACGCTTTGGTAGCTCCTCGCATCGGACCAGTGGCAGCAGTAGCTCCTCGTACGGCTGCACCTGCTCCTTGGCTATGTTGTAGAAGTGCTCCTCAATGTTGGCGCCTCTTAGTGGAGGCAGTTTCAACTGAACATCCGGCACAGGAGCACAGCTTTCGATGTCGACGCCATGCCTGCGCAGCTCATCCTGGTAAACCTTGGCGGAGGCCACCTGCTGCTCCGAAACGCTGCGAGGGGATTGGGGAAACAGCTGCGCGTGCAGATTCCGCGAAATCATCTGCACCTTGACCAGATTCTCCGCATATTCCGAGTGTTCCTCCAGATTCTCCGGCTTTTTTGGTCTGTTTATCTTTGGCGGTGGCCTTACCCGGCGGTAGATCTTCAGGCTGCTGCTGGCATAGTGCTCCCTGGTGGCCTTGCTGGCATACTTTCTGATCAGTTGGAGTTGCATCTTGAATTAATTGGATTAAACATCCTTTAAAGCTGCAACAAAACAACTGGCAGCCACCTTCTCCTCCGTTAGAATGCCGGCAACTTGGGTATTTTTATGCGCTTGCGCAGCGGTCACACTGAAACTGTTTTTTGAAATTCCGTTAAAAAAATACAAATATTAAAATATTAATAAACCAATTAAGCAAAATCGTCTGGATTGTTACTATGCCATCAAGGTATTTATAATATATTTCTTATAAACGGGCAATTTATAAAACTAAAATTCTAAAAGTATATCTATATTTAAATACTATAAGTTTAAATATTTTACGCGCCAAAATTGGAAACCATTTAAAAACCAATAAACAAAAGACTTTATTATGATTTTACGAATAAAAAACATTTTATTCAGTTTGCTATAAAGGTGAAACACTTTAAAACACACACACAGACTTTCGGAACCATTATGGAAGTGGAAGTTGGGGGGAAAAGAACAATCTCTTCGGTTAATTTATGTAAAAAAGCCTTCGCACGGTATACAATAGTAAGTAGAACAGTGGGAAAAGCGATTTTGGAAAACATTTTGGCAAATACTGCGCTCCTGGCCAGGCCAACACACTCGCTAACAGACAATAACACGTTACGCTGGACTAGATCTGCAGGTTGCGCATGCCGCCGTTGATGCCGCCCTGCTCCACGTTCCAGATGACCAGCTGCCCATCCACGCCCGAGGTGGAGACCTTGGTGGCGCTGGCCTTGTCGCCGGCATACAATCGCACGCTGGTGATGGCGTTCTGGTGGATAGAGTCCACCACCGTGTCCGTGTTCTCCGTGCGCATGTTGCGGTCCATGGACTGGAAGATCCTCATGGCGGTAATGCCGCTCGACTCCTTCTTCTGCGACTTGTCCAGCTTGCCGCTCAGCACCAGCTTGCCGTCCGCGGTCAGGCTGTACAGCAGCGGGACACAGCTGTAGCCGGCCACCACGACGGATGTGGGTGAGACCCACTCGCAGGAGAGGAACGGCAGGTAGCCGGTGCGGCAACGGATCACCGCGTTGCTATTGGTGGCGTCGGCGATGCTCACACAGCTGTCGTGGCCCACCCAGCACACCTTGTTGCCGTCGCTGGAGAAGCTCACGCTGTTGATCCAACCGCCGCCGGAGGTCTGCGAGTTCCGGAACTCGGCCATCAGCTGGCCAAGGGGCTTACGGTTGCCCCACGGCGTCGGCGTCGGCGGCTCCTCGATGTCCTTGATGAAGGCCGAGAAAACCCGCACCTTGTAGTCCGTTGAGCCGGCCAACAGGAGGACATTGTTTGGATGCCAGTCCAGCGAGGTTACGGTCGAACGGATCGGCTTCTTGATGTGCTTGGACACCCACCAGTCGTTCTCCGACTCGAAGTAGCACACCGAGATGAGCCGGGCTCCGGATCCCACGGCGAACTTGTTCTCCGCCGGCGACCACTTGACGCAGGTGGCCGCCCGGTTGATGCGCAGCAGCACCAGCGTCGGCTTCCACTTGCCATCCTCGCCCTGCGTCCAGACATACGCATTCCGGTCGGCGGCACAGCTCACGATCCGATTGGTGTTCTTGGCCCAGTCGATGCCCATGACGCGCAGATCGTGCTGGTTGAGCACGTCCGCCAGCTTCCAGTCGCTGCCCTCCCGGCTGTATATGTGGATCTCATGGTTGTTGGGCGATAAGGCAATCTCTGTGGGAGTGGAAGTGGGTGAGTCACTGTTTCGGGTTCCGGGTGAGTAATCAAGGCGGCACTACTTACGGGTACGGTCCTTGTTCCACGCGTGGCAGGTGATTGAGGCCAGCGAGGTGCCAAAGGTGAATGTCTCGGCCATCGTGGGTGGCTAAATGCGCTCGGAATGCTCGGTTTGCAGTCTCTTCCAACCACACACGTAGTTTCTTCGGTTCGGTTTGGTTCGGTTCGCCGGATCTCCGCCTAGTGACCAAGTGGGCGTTGTTTCTGCTGGCTGTGCTTCGCTCCGGTTTTAATCGCGGACTCTGGGCCGTCTACACGATTAAGCTGGCGTTGCTGGGAAGGATTCTCGGTTGACCTGGGCGGAACGAGCAGAGCGTTGTGGATAAAAACACTTTGGAAAAGTAAAAATTAATCACCCGAAGTGTGACCGCGCTGAGTTAATTAATAAAATCGGCTTAGCCACTGCAAATATACCAAAAAAGTCAGGAGGACTTTGAAAATATACCGAACTAACAGAGATGCCAAACTCTGCATCAGTGCTGCTTACTTATAGCCAACAACACTTTATTCAGGGGGAATTAAACAAAATAATTCGTTGCTATTTTAAAGGTAAAATTAATTGGCAGAAAGATGGTTTTGTGCAGATGAATTAAAACTGAACTTTCTGTTGAGAATAAATCAAAAGAAATTTATATTGCAAACAATTTTTGCTTTAAGTCTAAAATGAGCTTATTTTAATATATTGTGTTTTTATTATTTCTGAAATTAAGAAAGTGGGAAAATAGGTATTTGATTTTTGAAACAAAATTTTTTTAAAATTGTAAAGCTATATTGAAATAATGGCAGAGAGAAGTTATCAAATTTTTGTTGAATACCGGAAATGCCTCTTCAAAAGATTTTCGCAGTATCTTTACAAAAGCAAGAAGTGCCGAAAAGGAGATGTAGTCATTACTGCAGTGTATCGACCTCCGAAAAAATACTAAAATAAATAGATAGCTATAAAGATACCAAACAACCAGGGCTGACATACGAGTTTGGCGCCCTTTACTTCCAAACTATTGCAACGCTTGTAAACAAACAAATTGGACATGGAATCTATTTGCTCCTCCGTGGAGAAGTTGTTTCCCTGTCGAGAGGCGGCCATCGGCATCTTGGGCGAGCTGATAGGAGACTCCAAGGAGGCCTATCCCTCGGCCATTTACCTATTCGGGCACAGTGGAACCGGCAAAACCGCTTTGACCAGAGCGTTTCTCAAGGAATGCGGAAGAAAACAGAATGTTCGGACAGCCCATTTAAATGCCATCGAGTGCTACACCACCAAGATCATGCTGGAGATCCTGCTGGACTCGTTGGCACCGGCAGAAGGGGATGCGCTGAAGGCGGACAATATGCTGGATTTCGTGGAGCAACTGCGTCGATGGCACGGGCCTCAAGGTGCCGACTCCCAGGGATTTCTCATCGCTGTGGACAATGGGGAACGCCTGCGAGACATGGATGCCAATGTGCTGCCCGTGCTTCTTCGACTGCAGCAGCTCACCAGCTTGAATCTGTGCGTCATTCTGCTGTCACAGCTTCCCTTCGAGAAGTTCTACAACAAGACTGGCCTGAGTGAAGTCATCAGCCTGCATTTGGCGCAGTACAACAAGGCGGAAACACAGCGCATCCTGGGATCGGATTTCGCGCAGGTGCGCAGTCAGCTTTTGGAGCAGTTTGCCCAGGATAAGAAGCGCCTGGAGATCTGCCAAGAAGCAGTGACCGAGGAGTTCTACAACAACTACCTGAATCTCTTTCTGAGCGTGTTCTACAAGGCTTGTAGGGACGTGCCCGAGCTGCAGTTGACCGCCCGGAAGTGTCTGTCCATTTATCTAGAGCCTGTTCTGGATGGCACTGTGGAGGCCACGGATATCTCCCGACTGTGGCGACATATAGCCGGTCCTCTGCGCTCCGCCCTCACCCAGATCTATATGCGGATAGAGAAACCGCCGGAGGAGACGGAGGATTTCGCCGCCATTGAGGATCAGAGTGTTCGCAAGTTGGCCCAGTCGCTGGAGCTTCCCTACTATGCCAAATTCCTGCTGATTGCCGCCTTTCTGGCGAGTCACAATGCCGCCAGTCAGGACAAGCGTTTGTTCGTCAAACACCATGGCAAGCAGCGCAAGCGGATGCAGATGGTTAACGCCAGAGCCAAGGTGAGTTTTTGAACAAGGATATAGTTTCATAAGCTTATGAACCCCTTTCTAGACCACCGAGAAAATGTCCACCACGCTGGGACCCAAATCCTTTAGCATCGACCGTTTGCTGGCCATTTTCTACGCCATTCTCGAGGAGAAAGTGGGCCTGACCTGCAACCTGCTCTCCCAGATCTCAACGCTGGTGCACCTCAAGCTGCTCAGCTTCGTGTCCGGCGAGCAGAACATCATGGACGGCTCCGCTCGGCTGCAGTGCACCATTGGCCTGGAGTTTGTGATGCAGATCGGAAAAGTGGTGGGCTTCAATGTCCGCCAGTATCTGTGCGACTTTATGTAGCCTCCTGTTTATTTTCAGTTTTTAAATATATTCAATAAATAGTCCGGTACATCACTTATGTGTATGGTCTCCGCCAGTCTAGTGTCCCGGCTGCGCAACTGCATCAGCCCGTTCTTGAGCGTTTGTTCGCTTAAGACTAGTGTATAGGGTACGCCCAGCATGTCCGATTTCAGCAAGTGCTCTGATAGCTGTGAATCATCCTTGGTCGAAGCAAATCCAGGGCCTTGGCAAAGTCGCAGACCTGCGTGGTTAATGACATGCTTCAGGTGAAGGCAAAGGTCGGCCAAGTCTTCGGAGAGTTCGGAATCGCTGTCTACACAGGCTATTCCACATTGGTAAGGCGCCAGTCCGCGATGAAGCAGCAGGGATTGTGCATCTCGGCCATGATCACAGCCGTCCAAAAGCAGAGCTAAGGAAAATATGATTTAGCTACATTTAAAGGGTTTATTTTAAAGAACTCTTACCACATGTGGCCGTTTCCAGCTCAATCACAGATCGTATGACAGTCGGTTGCACAGAATCACCCGTTCGCGCATCAGTGAGTCGAAAGTGGTTGTCATCTTCAATCTTCACCAGACTCAGTTCTTCCACTGTCACTTCTCCCGCTTCGCCGTAGCTTGATCGTATGTCGATGGCTTGATAGTTTTTGGGATTAAGATCCTCCTCCAAATCGCATGGAACGATGCGATAGCGGCTGGGATTTGAAGACAGCCGCATCCACCAGATCTTGCTCTCGCGCTGCATGTTGTAAAAGTGTTCCAGTGCGCGATGTGGTTCCACCAGGAAGTCTGTGGTTAAAAGCGTGGTCGGACACTTTACAACGAACAAGGGATTGGCTTTGCTGGAGGAGCGCTTGCTCAGGTGCTTGATGAGAGTGGGGCATTTAGCTTTGCGGGGGTGATCTTTGAGGAGCTTTTGGAAATTGGTTTGGAATTGCTGGCTTTGGGGAAACGAAAAACGCTGTCGGTCGGAAGGGGATCTAGATCCGCTGGTGTCCTCCCCCAGATGAGCAGCCAGGGGACGCAGTCGTAGCCAATGCTGTTGCAGTAGCTCCGCGTATTCCCTCCCGTGGCCAAGTAGTTCCAATTTCTTGTCGTCCTGGGTGCGAAAGAAGCCAGCGGAAGCCAGGGACTTGAAGCAGCGCTGTATCCGGCTCATTGCTCCAGCGGAATGTTGCCCGGCGGCGAAACGAAGTAGTCCTCGTCCGTAACCTTGGCGTTCCGGAGCACCTCCGCCCGGCAATCGCCCTCGGTTACCTGGTCGTTGCGTAATTGGAGCTGCTGATGCTCCAGCACCGTGTACAGCGGACGCACGTGCTCCGTGTCGATGTGGGCTATCTTGTCCGCGAACTGGATGCTGCTCTTCAGCGTTTCCAGTGCCCGCTCGCTGTCCAGATCCACCAGAGACAGGCGCTCCAGCAATTGTATGGTCTTCGTATCGATCTCGATTTCTGGGGAGCTGGTGTCGGGAAACTCAGTGTCCACCGGCTTCTGCGGCACCTTGGTGGGATGAGTCAGCTGCTTGAAGTCCAATTTAGCAGGTTTTTCATTCGCTTTGGTTGCAATTTTGCAATAAAAACGTTTACTCAACAGGCGCAACATTTCTGAAAGGCAAACATTAGAGGTGGAACTAAAGTTCGCTAGATAAGGCAAATCTAGCTAGAAAAGCGGATTGGCCAGCACTAGCTGGCAGACTTATCGCCGGTTGTTATCGATGCACTGCCATCACTATCTCGCCGCTTTATTTTTCTCAGAGGTTTTGCTTGTTCCGTGGTTTTTAAGTAATTAAATTAAAACTAGGCCGCCATGCCGTACGCAAACCAGCCGTCCGTGCAGATAACCGAGCTGACCGACGACAATGTGAAGTTCGTCCTGGAGGACACGGAGCTGAGCGTGGCCAACAGCCTGCGACGCGTGTTCATCGCGGAGACGCCGACGCTGGCCATAGATTGGGTGCAACTGGAGGCCAACTCCACAGTGCTGTCGGACGAGTTCCTGGCCCACCGCATCGGCCTGATACCGCTGATCTCCGACGACGTGGTCGAGCGGCTGCAGTACACGCGCGACTGCATCTGCCTGGACTTCTGCCCCGAGTGCAGCGTGGAGTTCACCCTGGACGTGAAGTGCAGCGAGGAGCAGACGCGCCACGTGACCACCGCCGACCTGAAGTCGAGCAACGCCAAGGTGCTGCCGGTGACGTCGCGGAACCAGGGCGAGGAGGACAACGAGTACGGCGAGAGCAACGACGAGATCCTGATCATCAAGCTGCGCAAGGGTCAGGAGCTGAAGTTGCGCGCCTACGCCAAGAAGGGATTCGGCAAGGAGCACGCCAAGTGGAATCCCACGGCGGGCGTGTGCTTCGAGTACGACCCGGACAACTCCATGCGGCACACCTTGTACCCGAAACCAGACGAGTGGCCCAAGAGCGAGCACACCGAGCTGGAGGACGACCAGTACGAGGCGCCCTACAACTGGGAGGCCAAGCCGAACAAGTTCTTCTTCAACGTGGAATCCTCCGGCGCCCTCAAGCCCGAGAATATCGTGATCATGGGAGTGCAGGTGCTGAAGAACAAGTTGTCCAACCTGCAGACGCAGCTCAGCCACGAATCCCAGAACGATGCCTTGGCCGTTTGATGTATAACAAGTTTATTTTTAGTTTATAAAAGTTTCTCCGTCTAATCCTTGAACAAGCTGTCTATGTTAATGCCCACGCTGGTGTCCTTTTTCGCTTTGGGCGGAGCTGGAGAGGATGACGACGTGGTCGGTTGGCTTCCCACTGCCTCCTTGAAGTCGCTCAGTAGCTGGCTTTTGGATTCCGCGTCCAGTTCCGGCAGGGACTGCTCTGGAGTGGCCTCCAGGCGGGATTGCTGACGCTGCTCGGCCAGGAGATCCAGAGCCGTCTCGTAGATCTTCTGCTCATCCAGTGCTCCCTGGGCCTTCAAGTCCTGGTAGATCTGCACAAACTGCTGCGACTGAGTGCTGCGCCTGTGATCAAACAGTGATATGGTTTCCTGGGGCTTATTCTGCTTATGGAGCTTCCTATAAAAACATAAATTTAAGTAATGTTTGTTGCATTTGGCGATTATCAAGTGACATACGCTCGCACCACATCCTCGGCATAGAATATCTGACGCACTGGGATCTCGGGAGCGGGTCTATCGAATCGGGGCTCCAGTTTTGGTGGAAAGGCGGCGTAAACATCATACCAAATGGGTTTGTCTTCGGTTTTCATAGCTCCACCACGAAGCAGTCCCTGAACTCTGCAAAAAGTCATGTTTTAAACAGGGTAAGGAAACTCTATGATAGCCATTCACCTCGTGAAGATGGTTCCGATCTTTTCCAGCCTGCTCTGAGCCATTTCAATTAATTTTTAATTGATTTAATACGAATTTAACAAATTACGATTACGACATGCGTTGTGGGGACTTATCGATAAACAGCCGGTGGGCAATCGATAATTACAAAGCTGCCATTGGAAAAGTAAATGATTAATTTTCTATAAGAAATTTGTTACATTTTTAAAATATGTCTAATATAAAGAATTTTTGAATTATTTAATAGATTTTATTTTTAATTATTATCGAACAGAGCTGCCACACTAGCAAAAAACGTTTATTGTTTATTTCTGGCAGGTCCTCTGTTGCTCGTTCATTTCCAATTGGAAACATGTGGCAACCTGCCCCTGGGCGACTTTTTCCCACTACCGCAATACGGTCATACTCGACGCAGATTCCAGCAGAGGAGAAAAAAAATGCTCGACTTAAATTGTCGCACTTTTCTGTTGGTTTCGTAGATTTTCGCTTTTTCGCTCTCAAATCAAAGCGCTTTCAATCGGAAAACGAATAAATGGAAACAAAAAAACTAGTTTAAAAACAAATATAATATAATAGACGAAAAATGCTATTTCATAGTGTACTGTAATATCGTAAACCAAAGTGTTTTGATTGTTTGTGCAGGTGCAAAATCGATCTGGTGAACTAAAAACTGCGACTCCAAATCGGCCGAGTAAGCGCATTATTGCCCCGATTGTTGTTATTGGGAAAATGTTGTTTGTTTTGGAAAATTGTGCCATCGCTTTTTCGTAGTGTGTGCGTGTCGAGAGTGTGTTTGTGCCAGTGCCAGTAATTTAAGTTAATTAAAAACTAAGCCAGCTAACTCTCGGTTTTGCCGCCCCCGCCATGAGTAACTACCATCCGCATTCGCATCCGCACGCGCTCTCTCATCCGCATCCGCAGCAGGTTCAGAATCAGCTGCAGAATCCCCTCCAGAACCAGTTGCCGCCGCCCCCGCAACGCCATAACCATGCCCCGCCCACTGCGGCCGCCTCCGGAGCATCATCATCATCCATCCTGGTGGCCCATCCTCCCCAGCCGCTGATCAGCAATTCGCTGGCCATCCGCCAGGAGATCCAGCGATTCGAGAGCGTCCACCCATCCATCTATGCCATATACGATCTGATCGATCTGCTGCCGCTGGCCGATGCCCAGATAGCCCAGTCCATCCGCGATCATGTGGTCTGCATTGAAGGTGAGTCTTGAACTAGTTTTAGTCATTATAAAGAGTAGAAATATATTAATGTAACCAAAAATTCTCTATAAATCAAACTTATTTTGTTGGAGCTCTTGTTTATCATAATATTTCTGTGGCATTTGAGGCATACAACTGTTTCAGTAAAAGATTGAAATGGAAAGATAGTATCGATTAAGACACATATTTTCGGCAATCAAAAATTCATGTTTGTCCACCTGTTAATATCAAAGTTTATATCGTTATTCTTACAGATAGATAGACTTAAAATAGTAATGACAGCAAAAGGTATAAATATTTGCATTACATTGGCTTAGAGTATTTTTATCTTATACTTAAAGGAATGCTTAAAGCATTTTTTTTATTGATCCGATATTATTATTTCAAACACAGCTGCACAACTGTTTACCCCCGAATACACCATTTAAATATCGATTTTGCCTCGTAAAACAATCATGTTATGAACACTTCAAGCTGTAATAAATATAAATGGTTCGTACAAAATATTGGTTTCGTTTCTTTTTTTTTTTATTGGTTTGGCAGTTTATTTGCCATAACAAGGAAATGGTTGTCCTGGGAATTTTTACTTATGCCAATTTGTTGGAGCTTTAGAGGTGTGCCCCAGTAATCATTAGTTATTAAATTAAACAGTTAGAAAATTCACGGCCAGTCCTATGTATACACACAGAGAAATTGGATTTGCAGTTGGGAACGACTACAATGACTTTAAGAGGAGTGTCGTCTGAACTCAATGAATGTCATGTCGGCAGGAACGGATGGAAATCCTTTGATTAAACATGTTTATCGCTGCAATTGTATCCACACCTTCATTGTTGTTTGTTATCTTCAGCGTCTGGACTTGTGGTTGCCTTTGTTTGGAGTGCTTTATGCTAATCTCTGACCGAAAATCTATGAGGCAACATCAGCCATCAACCCTCGTGCGAGGATTATTGTTGCCAAAATGTCCATTCAAGCGGACCGGGGCCATTGAAAGTGTTGTTGCTGTTGTTCTTGTTCCTCTGCTCAAAAGAAAGAGCTTCGCTTTTTGTTTAAAACAAGCTTTTCTGCCCAATTTCCAGCGTGTGTAGTGTGTGTGTGTGTGTGTATATGCGGGGCCTGAAATTTGATGCCCTCTTCCTCGGTGTGGCAGCCACCAAAACTGAAACCGTTCACGAAATCAAACCAAAAACCGGTTCTAAAATGGTTTATTAGAAAATCTCTTGTCGAGCAGCAAAGGCAGAGGCAGCGGCAGAGGCAGAGGCAGAGCGGCAGAAGCAGCAACAACAAAAGACTCACCAAAAATGTAAACAAAATTGTCAGAGGCCTCTGCTTGTGCCTTCTGGCTTCAGCCTTCCCCAAACACGAAAACTCAAACTCAAACGCAAACTCCGTTCCGTGCAAACCAGATATGAAACCCGAGAATACGATCTCGATCTCGTAAACCGTTTTGCACGCGACTTTCTTATTGGCATTGACCCGCAACGCGAGCACGATCGGTTGGATATATCAGTATAATATATAGCTATGCCGAAATGCCGATTCTAATTCGCTGTCAGCGTGATGAATGATTTTTTCGTTGGACTCCCATTGCCGTTTTTCCCGTTCCAAATGCTTATTTATAGGTTTCGGTAACGGTGACCATTAAATTGAGAAGGTCAAAAGTGTCTTGCTTCAAGATGAACAGAAAAATAAATAAAATAAATTGGGATCTATGCATGTTCGTTAACCCTTTTCGTTTGGTGTCTCTTTTTTGGTATAAATAAGCCTACAGCACCTTACCTTTAACAAACGAAGGCATATCTAGAATATTGGGAATAAAAGACTCAACATAATCTGAAAACTTGTTATCGTTTTTGGTCAAGAACTCATACTAAAGGTTCCATTTATATCTTATGTTTATGACTCATTTATATTATTTCAAGTTTTATACCATAATAAAATGCTTAAAAGGTCGATGAACTTTATTGCAAAGCTTTAAGTAACTTTTATAAAGGGATTACTGCGTATTAATGCGATTTTAATTAGTTTCCTTACGCATATGACTCGTATTTCAATGCGTAATGGGTTGTTTTGTTTGTTGTGTATTTTAAAGATTTGCAGATGATTTCTCTTTAATGATTTTAACTAAGAGGGTTAAGGTCTAGTTATTTTTAGACAAAATTCAGCAACAAAAGCTGCTCAAATGTGTAATCTATCGGCTATTGTGTGTGGCTACATGTGCCGTCTAAAATTAGCATATGAAGCTATTAAATTGGATTTTGTAAACAATAGAACAGATTGTGCATTAGAAGCCGTTTACACTCTTCATTCGTCTTTGACAGAACATAAATAGTAAATCGATTACACGATATCAGCATATCAATGGCAATATTTCTACAAATTGATAATCGTATTGGGGGGTGTTCAATGAGCGCTGGACATAAATAACCTACCTGGAATGCGCGTTCGGTTGTCCGCGGTGTTTATACAAACACAAAGGCATGTTGACTGTTTGTTTGTAAATAGCCAAGTAATAGTCGGCCCTACATACAACAACAGTCAACTGAAATGCCGCTGGCGGCAGTGAAAAACAAATTTCCGCTCTTATCTCAAATGGCTTGCGACTGTGGGCCTCCCCATTAAAGCGATTGCAATTAGCCCCAAACGAATTTTTTGTTGGTCTACCCTTTCGTTAAGTGGGTACATTCATTTTTTCTCCAGATTACTCATCTTCAAATTAATTATTTTGCAATTCTTAAATAAATTGTTTAATAATTACATTACAAACATTTTTGGAAAGCTTTTGGGAAATTGTAAATGACAGCCTTTTAGTTTACTCTTTTTACCGTTAACGACCTAGTTCGCATTATCTTATAATGGTTTCTTTCTGATTTTAACCTATTTTTCATCTAATTGAAGTTTAATTACTTTTTTGCCGAAGAGCATTGTTTGTATTGTGGCTTCCCTTTTTATAATATTTATTTATTGGTAGCCATTAGTTCCATAATAAGGTAAATAATTGAGTTGCTTTTTGTCAATAAGCTCATTCATTGTTATTTATTTAAGACTCCTAAAGATATCATTGTTTACTTATCTTATTGTGAATAATTTTTTGCTACTGTCGAAAGCACAGACATGTTGTTTAAAACTTTGATATCTACCCTCCCATTTTAAACTGAACAATCTCATCTCAACTTGTGAACTCTTATCTGTCGGCGGTTTAGCTTGCTGTCTTTATTGCCGCCTCGCTTTGGGCAACGTTTGTTTATTTACTTTTAATTGTAAAATAATATTGACAGGCGGATTTTTAAGGCAATTGTTTGCCACTGTCATTGGCATATCACATTTTTTTTTTTTTTTGATTTTCGAGCTGCTGTTTGATATGGCTTTTTGTCTGTGTCATTCGGAAGTGGAAATTGTTGCTGTGCGTCGATACGCTCGAGAGCGTGACATGGAGATGCCATTGGGGCCTCAAATACATGTATTAACCCACACCAACAGTATGTCCGTACACTGAAAAAATTGAATTAAATATTATATTATATAAATATAATATTATTAATATTAATGTTTTTGTCAGTGTTCAAAAACGGATGTTCGAATATAAGCGAAACATGTGCAGTTTCGATCTCGACTCAAAATCTTTCATTTTGCAAAGTATATAGACATATTTTGAAATAACAAAATATTCCATTGATAATTTAAATATTTTTTCCAGTGTACAAGAGCGGATTTTCAAATATCAGCGACACATGTGCAACCGGCAGAGTGGAAGGCATGCGTGTCCGTCGTCTGCCCCCCCCTCCACATTGCCACCCCCTCCCTGGCTGGCCCCTTCACCCATCAAGTACCCGTTTATTTTTAAAGTAAATTGCATTAAAAATATCTTGCACTTTGCTTGCATTTGCTATTTCAATTGGAATTGCACAACACCTTGTTGTTGCTGTTATTTCGCTAAATTATTTTCGTTCTCGATTGACAGCAAAAGTTGAACAAAAGAAATGGCAAATCGGAAGAGAGTTTTTTGCGGTTTTTGCAATTAAGTCATAATATGTCCAAATTTGGTTGTCGCTTCGAGTGATTCATGATTTCGTGATGGGTGTATAGGAATTTATCATTTCATTTCGCTTCAGTCGTCTCCCTTGCAATACAGTGGGTTTCAAAACCAGAAAGCACCTCAAGTATGGTTTAAAAAAAATAAAAATGATCACACAGTGCAGTGTGAATAAAGACTTCAAAATTGTTATTTCTTATTTCAAGCGTGCTACAGTTTTGATTCACGCCTTAAAATTCACCTAAAGTAAATTTGTGATTATTGTATTCGGAAACCCGTTAAAGTGTTGTATTTCCGCTATTGGAAATTTGGAAATTGTTGTGTGTCAAGTGAGCTTGATGTGGGTTTGTAAATAAATTGTTAACTACATTGTTAATAAGATATACCGTTTGATTGGTTCATAAGTGTTTTATTGGAATTTATGCATTGTTACCGTTTGCGATGGTATTATCAATGACCTTTCCACTCATCTTGGTCATTTTCCAGAAATAATCGGCCACATCGGTTACGAATTTTGTGGATATATCCTGCAGTTTTTGACCAGTCAGTAGGATCTTGTATTGCATGTCGCTAAGACCTGTCTCAGATTCCCTGTTGAGAAGTAATGGGGAGCCCTTGAACTGAAAAGCGGAATTGTTTTTTAATTCAAAAAATATATAATATATACTTAATGGAAAAATTACCTCATCAAAAATATTCAGCCACATTTGATCCTTTTTGTCCATGTCCTTCTCTGCAATGGCTTGGTTTAAGCGCGTCACATAAAGATTGATATCCTGGGCTCTCTTCAATCGAGGATTCAATTGAGCCTTCACCTCCGTGAAATAAGCGATTTGAGAACGGAACAGGGAGTTCAGGAGATTGACTGTCTCCTCCTTAGCCTGCCTTTCCAGCTCCCTTTGCTGGGGATCATTGGAATTGGACAACTCTGGATGAGTTGGCTTGGCTGCCACTATTAAAATCTGTAGAAAAAAAGTAAAGGTGTTTAAAAGATAATATTGGAAGACTTATCGCCTTACTCACCTGGGCCAGCAAAAGTAAGGGAATACATTTTAGCAACATCTTTTGAGATTATATGTTTTAAGCCTCCGTACTCAATGAATGTTATTTTTGAACTAATTGATGGAAATAATAGACATGCTTTGATTAGCAGAGTGGGATGTTCCAATCTCTCAGGAAGCTGATAACCTGCCGAAGGTTTCTCTTGCTCGGGAATTTTGAATCGCTCTCTGAACGCGCGGATAATAATAACTTTTTCCCAATTTGAGAATTCTAAGTCAATTTAATTGCGTTTTAGCTAAAGCTTTAAAGGCACGTTTTTTAAACGGAGAGCATATTGGCATCTTTTTTTTTTTTTTTTGCAAGGTCTGGTTGTCTAGTTGTCTGGGTGGTATGTCGCACGCCTGATTTTGCTATCAGCTTTCTGACAAACATTAAGTATAACCTTTCCAAGGGTATGGTAAATATGTTTGCGTACACGAACCAAATTTTTAAAATATTCATTGCTTCCGCAATAAGCTAACATTTTACAAATATTATTTTTTCTTCTGTTTTTTAGAATCTATAATCTTTAACAAATATATTCACATATGAGTATATATTGTATGGGATAAACCCAATTGTTGTTCAACAGGCCGACTGGCAAATAGCTGTAAAAATATTATTTTATATTAATTTAATTAACCAATCTTTATGAAATTAAATTGTGATATTAATGGAATCTTAATCCGTAAGTCCTTTAAATAAAAATAATTATTCCAACTGCATTAAAGCGGTTACTTAAATAAAATTCTACACTTTTTTTTATTCAAAATTGTATTTACATTGCTTTACGTGCATCTAAGCACCAAAAAGTATGCAATAAAAGCGAACACTTCATGGCCTTTTAAACTCACCATGATATAAGGATATTCAACATTGTAAAATTATTTTCTTGGTCTGCCAAAAAGTATGCAACATTTTTAAAAAAGGTTGAGAAATTAAAAATTTGCCTTTCAAACTATTTTAGGCCAATAGGAGTTTAAAAAATATAAAGCCAAAGCAATAATTTTATTCTTACTGTAGACTGAAACCATAGTTATACCGTATTTGTCTTGTATATGTATAAGTATTTTAAAGAATAACATTCTGCTGTTCAAAAATACTTTGAAGAGCTAAAGCAGACGTTAGTAAACAACTGAAAGTTAATGGAACCTGAGCAGTTATGTGGGCTAATCAATTTTGGCAAAGGAAATGCTATTATAAGCTTAATCTGCGTGATTAGATTAACCAAATCGCTGGGGTGTTTTTGCGCGTTTCCCAGCTGCTGGTGGGCAGACAATAAAACGATCGCACATGTTTTATGGTTTCCAAATGCTTCTCCCTCCACTCCTCTAAATGCAGTAATTAAGTTGGTAAATTTGATCATTTTTATTGTGGATTTCTAGAATCCTCCTGTGATAATAGCAATGATATCACTCAGAGTACGATCTCCGATGAGATCGTTGCACACGGGAGTGGCCTGTTCGCTGACCCACTTGGCCACAAAGTCGGTGTTGTCGTTGATCGTCAGGGTGACAAACTCCTCGATGACCTCGTTCAGTTTGCGGTTGAAGATGCGGTACTTGGACAGGTTCTCGATCTGCGAGTTGACCTTGCCCACCGACGGGTATATCAAGACGTCCTTAACGCGGAGGTTCGAGGTGAGCACGCCCAGCGAATAGCTGATCTTGCCACGAATGCTCAGGTCCTCGAGGGCAAAGAAAGCTCCACCATCGCGCTTAATACGATAACCACTGCCCATGTCCACCTCATAGTTGGTGGTAAAGTTCAGGCTACGGAACAAAAACTCGAAGGTGAGGCGACTCCGGAAGACGTCCATGTTCATGGAGATAACCTCGTACTGATCGAGCCCCTCCAGAACAAAGTCCTCAACACCAAAGGTGCCACTGAACTCCCCCGAATTGATTTCAAACGATCTTTTCGCTGCCGTCATGGGGGCCAATACGGGAATTCCATAGCTCGGGACTCCATTCTGCAGAACTACTCTAAACTCCTCCACGAGTTCCAGAATCACGCTGGAAATAGAGCGGTCTTGAGCTGAAAAATGTAAATGATTATTATTAACTTGCTCGACTTTTCTTATGTTTAAACCTCACCTGCCAAAGGTTCGGCGACTTCGGCACCTTGACAGCTGCCCAGGGCCACGATAAGTGCAATCAGCAGCACAGACTTCATTTTTATTTAGCACAACACACTAGTTAACCCTTTCAGCAAACAAAATCCACTAGTCGAGTTTTGGCGAAAGCATTCCTCTTATATAGGAAATCGTCCATTGAGATAAACTATCTGTACACTAAGAAAAAATTTAAGTGTCTATCACAGAAAAAAGAAATGGTTGGAATAAAATATTGGTTAAGTAATTAAAACAACATTTTTAAATCAATAACATTGTTCAACAATTTAACATTTAAAATTAGTACCTAATAATTTAAAAGAGTTTATTTATGAAACGATGTAAGATGAATTTTTCAGATCTTAAAAATATTATTTAACAGCCATTATCTAGTAGCTTTACAATTTCAGCGCAGATTTAGACACACAAAATATTTTGTTAAAATCTCCTGACCTCTCAAGACAAATGGATAAATTAATAAATATACAATGGTTTTGACAATTTTTCAAGTTTTGACTAAAGTTTCCTTTCTGTGTTATTACTGAAGTACCATCAATAATCGGCAAATAATTTGGCAAAGTGTTTTATGACAGATAAGACACAACTTGAGATTAGCCCGCCTTCGAAATAAGACGATAAATGCTGAGTGTTGTAAATTTTTGACCTGTTAGGACTTGAATTATGATCCACTATCGTTAAGGATGCCATCGAACCATTAAAACCCCCTTCCCCAGACAGAAAAACCAGAGTGACGAATACTTGATTCAAAACGGTTGTTTAATCACCGATGATTTGATTACCACTCGAGCTCGGGAGGAATGCAGACCTCCTTCTCACCGCCCTCACCACCGCCGGCTCCAGCGATGACCTCGGCGATGCTGATCTCGTCCAGAATGCTGTTCACTGCGGGAAGGGCAATGCTCTCGATGGTATCGGCCAGCAGATCCTCGTTCTCATTGATAGCCAACTCCACGGCCTCGGCCAGGTACTCGTTCATCTTCTCGTTGATGGTGCCATCGCCCAGGATGCCCTCGATCTCGGAGTCGACCTCGCCCAAGTGGGTGCGCACCTCCAGGGACTTGAGCTTCAGGTTGCCACTGATCATGCCCAGGGAGTACTTGAGACTGCCCCAGATAACCATGTCCTTGATGGCGAACTTGGCGTGTCCGGCACCGATCAAGTTGATGGTGAATCCGTACTTCTTCAGCAGCACACTCAAGTCGTACTGGGTGTCCACGTTCACGTTGCGGAAGGTGAACTTGTAGGTGACCTTGCTGGTGATGGCGTTGACCTTCATCTCATCGACTTCGAAATCGTTCAGGCCATTAAGACGGAAATGGTCGACGGTGCCCTGAGCCTTCAGTGCGCTGGTATCGATGTCAACGGTCCTGTGCTCAATCCTAAGGGGAGCCAATGGCGGAATGCCCAGGCCGGTGAAACCACAGGGCATCTGCTCCTTAAGGCCCTCGATCAAGTCCACAATCGTGCTGGAGATCGATTGGGTTTCTAAGAGGCAATGAATAAGTAAGCAATCTAAGAGCTATGATCTTAAGATCATTTAAAGTACTCACGAATGGGCTGGCCCACGGTACCCGCACGGGCAACGGCCACAAAAGCCAAAATAGCCACGAAGATTTTCATTATTGCTCTGACTGAGAGTCCTACCAACTGATCGTAGTACGCACTGTATTTATACTACTCAATCGTCCGGTCGCATGAGCTGCTTTTTATAGACGATCCACCTTTCTGGTGGGGTGGCGATAAGGGGGCTTTGGGCCCGAGAACGATTTGATTAGCCACCGGGCTTTCGATCGATGCCTTATTGCTGTCTTATCACGGCCAACCGTTCACCGGTGGGCAATTTTTTTAATTTTAATGATTAGTTATATATACATCGGGGTACTTATCCCGAGGAAATTATGAGATTTGTCAGGAGGATAAAAAGCTAGAAAGTTTTCAAACAAAAACATTCCCTTCCTGTGGAAAGTCGGTTTGGGGTGTGTCTCCTATGATAGCGTGTAGTGATTTTTGGCAACTATGCCCCTTTTGAAAAAATATAACTTGGAAACAAGCAGTTAGTCTTTCTCTAAGGTCTGGTATGATTTTAGATCCTTTATAATTATTTTATATATTTTTTAAACAATTATTAAGCACTTAAAACCTATCTGTAATTTGAAAGTATGATTCATTTAAAACTTTCCACTCATATTTATCTTTAGGTCATGCAGCTGTCTGAACCAAAAGAGACTTCCTAAGAATTAAAGTTGCTCATAAATGTTAAACTAGAAATCACGCAGGTTGATAAAAATTCTTCAAAACTAATTAAAGAACAAAGTCTTGATTGTTTTGTATTAAAATAACCTGTGCACTTCTATGGATCTAAAGTCTGCGAAAAATTTCTTATTTGATTTACAATCAAAACATTTTGGAGTGCATTGAGTGATTTATGGCTGATAACTGGAAGGACTTACGGATGAATCTATTAATAAGCAAAGTCAGACGGTCAAGACCAGATGGCTCGCCAAATACTCTATAAATGAATTATGAGCCCTAAAGTTTCCGGCAGTCCTAGCCCAACAGAATTATCGAACAATTGTCCAGCAAATGGATTAGTTCCCATTATAAAATCTTAATCGAGGTAGCAATAAATCACTGTTAAGACGCCTTTACCGTTTTGAAGAGTAGCAAGCTAGTCTGTGAAGCTCTGATGACAATAGAATTTACCCCCAATCGAGAGATAGGAATCAGTCAACATGGGTAATCCGCGGACACCTGCAAAGAGTTTGACGCAGTTTTTCCACCGGTAGCCTGGTTATTTGCCTATAATCCAGTTGTATGTGTTTCGCAATGATAGACCATATACATTCTTTAAACGATTTTGACTTCGATTGGCCAATTGGGTGTCGAGATTAGGCCAAAACAAGCCACTTAAGCGACACAAGTGTTCTTTTTGCTTTGTGGTCTTACAACCCACTTCTTGCCTTTGCCTTAAATCGGGAGTCTATCGTCTTAGGGTGATCGCAGTTCTGCTAATCAGTACATGCGATTAGCATGAAAGTATGTAAGCCCCCCCCCTCCCGCCTGCTCATATCCCCAAACTTTGCTATAAAAGCCACTGACCGGCTGAAACAATCAATCAGGTGGCTATACAATGAAAGCTATCGTTTGTGTTTTTTTGGCCCTTTTGGCCTGCGTAGCAGCCTACGATGTGGAGCTTCTCAGCGAGGAGCAGTGGAATCAGCTGGTCGAACGTAATCGTAAGTGTCCTAGGCTGTCTCTTTTGTAAAGATAGAGGGCTAATAAAGCTGTAATTCCCAATGCCAAACAGCTGCCAAGCCCGATACGCAGGGCCTGATCCTGAATGGATCGGCCAAGAAGGCCATCAGGGGTCTGATTAACCAAATGCCCTGCGGCTGGCCCGAGTATGGAATCCCTCCAATGGCGCCCTATACTAACGCTGATCTGCGCATCCACTTGGCCGAATCGGTTGTGGAGTAAGTAGCTCATGATTCTATTGGAATGGATGTCATGGTGTCATCTAAATGTCCTCTTTAGTATGCTGCTGCAGTTCCTGCGCTTCCGTTTCGATGGCCTGGAGAACATGGAGATCAAGAAGCTGAAGGTCAGCTACACCTTCAGCAAGAAGGTCAAGTTCCATTTCAACTTCAAGGAGCTGAAGGCCAGCGCCCACTTCCTGGACACCAACACTTTTATGGACATGCTGAAGCAACTGGGATTGTCTGTGCGGTATGAGAGCTCGGGTCCATTGTCCTTCAGCCTGGAGAATCTGTCGATTCAGGGCGAGTTCAAGTACAAGATGCCCTTCATCTTCGGCTCCATCAAGATCTACAAGTTCAGCTGTATCGTCGGACTTGGTGGCGTGACCTCCAACATTGGCGGCATCATGGGCAACGGCAGGATCAACGAGTTCATCAACGACATGGTGGACAAGGAGGTGCCGGCCTTCATCAATGGCAACCAGAAGCAGATCAGCGCCAAGATCGAGGAGATCTTTGTGCCGCTGGTCAATTCGCATCTCACGGGCCACAAGATCTGGTATCTGTTCAGCATGCTGTCCGCCGTCACCGGCACCTGCAATCCCACTCCCGCCCCCTGGTTGGCCGTGGAGTCCAGGAAGATAGAGTAGAGTAGCAGCACCATCAACCCGCAATAAATAGCAATTCAAGCCAGTCCACGATCTACGTTTTAATTAGCCCCCATTCCGCCTGCTATCTTCGCACAGTATCACCTCTTTGGCGTTATCGCCCGGGATTGGTTTCGGTATATAAGACTCTGGCCCGGGGGTTGGACAATTCAGTAGCGTTTCTAGTTACTAAAAGCCACAACCAACCATGCGTTTCCTGGTAGTCTTGGCCTGCCTGGTGGCCGTTTGCGCCGCCGGCACTCTGCCCAACCAAGTGGAGCAGCGTCTGAGGGAGCTGGCCGATCAGAATGGCGACATCGATCTGTTCGAGGAGCCCCAAGAGGGAGTTGAAGGTGAGAGAAGGTCGCAAATTCAGGGACAATTCCGGGCATTTTAGGTACACATTTGTTTAACTGATAAATTAATTTGCCATTCATTTATTTTTGCGGTGAACGTAATTACTTTTTATGAGGGAACATTTTTTTTTTAATAGTTGCAGGTAATAAATACATGTAATTATCTACTTAACAAACTACCTAAAGATCAAACATCAGACGTACAATTTTTTTTTACCACTTAGTTTTGTCTTTCTCAGCAATATTTAACCTACAAGTCAAGGTAAAAAGGCGTTAATTCTTAATGAAAGTTTATGTCATGGACATTATTAGCTTAGGCTATTTATCTCTAATTTCTCAGGGCGAATTTTATTTTCTTGGTTAACAAATAAATCAACTAAATATCAAAATCACTTCCTTAGTTGCCCCGCAGTTCATTTTGTCGTGGCAGGCGCGTCGCTTCATCCGCAAGCTCCAGAAGCAGATGGAGTGCGGATGGCCCCAGTATGGCATCCCAGTGCTGGCTCCTCTGCGCGTCAACGAATTCAACCTGGACTTTAAGAAGGGCATCTTCGAGACTTTGAACCATGTGTTCCGCCTCAAGATCGCCGGATTGGACGACTTCAAGATCAAGAAGTTCAAGCTGAACGTGATCACCAGCAAGGTGACCTTCGACTTCCTGTTCAAGAACATCGACACCACCGCCCAGAAGTACAGCACCGACACGATGATCGATGCCCTGCGCCAGCTGGGTCTGTCCGTGGAGTACGAGGGCAATGGAGAGCTGCTGTTCGACCTGGTCAACCTGCGCATCGCCGGCACCCTGAAGTACAAGCTGCCCATGCTGTGGGGCTCCGCCAAGATCACCTCGCTGAAGACCACCATCTCGCTGGAGTCCGTGGAGTCGGACATCACCGGGTTCATGGGCAACGGCAAGATCAACCGTGCCATCAACCGTCAGCTGGAGAACATCGTGGTCAAGGCCATCAACAACAATCAGAATGCCATTTCGGATACCATTGAGAACAGCATTGTGCCGCCAGTGAACAAGATGCTCAAGGGCAAGGACTTCTGGACTCTCGTTGACCTGATCCTGTCCAGCAGCGAGGGCGAGAGCGAGGACGATCCGATTGTCGTCGACTGCGATCCTGCCGCCGATCCCTGGGCTTAAGTTCGCAGGGGGATGTAAATAAACACATGTCGATACATTAAATCTTTGGTCTACTTTTGGGGGTTCACCTTTTCTCAGGCTCCACTTCAATATCAATTGAGATTTTGTTGGAGACAGAATTGTGAACTAAAAAATGAAGTTTTAATCCACATTTCACAAAATTAAGCAGATTTAAAAACGGAATTACAGGTGTTTGTTTAAAATATGTTTAAATTTACTTGCCTGCTCCCAATTTCAATATACATCGAAATGTTGTAGGAGAAGCAATGGTAAACTACGTTTTAATCCATATTTCACAAAATTAGGAAGGTATTATATTGAAATGTTGTAGCAAAACAAATTGTAATTTTTTTTAAATATGTTTTGTATTTAAGTATCGTATGAATTTGGGAACACGCACGTTTATCTCCTTTGCACCTGCCTAATCCAATCTTATCGATTTTCGCTACTTTAGTGGCTAATCGATATTGCTGATTGGGTAAGGGAAAAACACTTGGTTTAGTGGAATCACTAACAGTTCCTGTGTGGTATTCACGATGAGAACTTCGTGTGCTATTTTTGTGGTCCTTCTTTGCTGCTCCTTGGGCTCCGCCAAGCTCTTCGATGATGAGCTGCGCGAATTGACGGAGTTTCTGCGCTTGCAGATGCGATGTGGATATCCGGCTAGAGGGGTTCCCATTTTGGCCCCAGCTCAGATTTCCTACAAGGATATTAACATCCGAACTGAGAACTTTGGGTAAATAAATTATGACCCTATTGAAATAATTTTGAAAAACGAATATTATCATTTGCAGCTGTAATGGAAACTTCACTGAACTGACCATCGAAGGTCTGGATGGTTACGAATTCTCCAAGCTTGTATGGAGCAACATTTTTCACACCATTAAGTTTGATATAAACTTTCCCAAGATATCGCTGAAGAGCTCAAACTATAAGCTCAATATCTTGGCTCGTCTTTTCGGTGGCGATTTCTCCCTTTGGGGTGATGGTGTGTTTAATCTGGAACTGATCAACTTCCGAGCTAATGGCAGCTTTATTATTCGCCCAAAGACGGCCACCAGTGGGGTGCACGTAAAAAGCTGGAAGGTCGATTGGGAGCTGGAGGAGGCCAAATCCCAGATCACGGGCGTTATGAACAGTCGTCTCTACTCGAAATTCATCAACGATTTGGTTAGGGAGTATCTGGAAGTCATGATCAACGACAGCCCCACAGAAGTTTCCCAGTTCATGGAGGAACTTATTGTGCCGCCCATGAACTTGGTGCTGGATAACATTGCCTGGTACGAGATTATTATATCATTATGGGTCTGGTCAACGGAATTCTGCCAGTGGAGCCGATTTGTTGAAGTGCTGCTGTTGAGGAGGTCGACTGCCAGGTGTTCAAGTGTTTAAATGTGAATAAAAGGCTAAGGAAGCATTTGATAACAAATTAATTGGAATTATGTGTGCTTACTTTTGGTTGGTGTTCGAGGTGCTCTATAATATTTGTTTAGATATTTTCTTATTTAAAAAACTGGAGGGTGCAAATTGATAAGGCTTTAATATTTACTAAATAGAAGATATATTTTTTTGTGATTTAAAACGTATATATTAATTTGTGTTTATTTACTTAATTTAAACTATACAAACTTGATATACATTTCACTTTGTAATTATACTTGCAGTACTAATAAATCATTTTGTTCTTTAACTCTCCTTGCAGGTAAGCGCGATTAGATTTCCCGTTTATTGGCAGTGAGTATATGAAGTATTCCCGGCCTTCATCATCAATTCCTATTTTTGGGGACTCCATTTGGTGTTCTAATCGTTTCAACCATAAATTAATGTTGATCTTTGTGCGTTGAGGGGAGGCGAAAGCAAAGTCCATAATCGGATTGGGAAATGTGGAAAACGCTGCGCCAGCAGGACATCTCAATCGCTGGGCTCAAACCGAAGCACGAGTCCTGGCACAGCAGGACTTCGACGGGTGGTCCTGCGATTTTCGTTCCAACACTTTCTAGGCTCTGATTTGCTAGTGGCTTCGAGAGCAGCTGGTTTTCTTTTTTTGTGACACAGACACAGAATCTTTTTATATTCCTTTTTTTTCGATTTTGTAGAGATTATTTTTTAGATTGCGGTCTAATGTCATCATTTGTTGTTAATTAGTTCAGAGTACTGTAAGAGTATCTACTCTTAAAACTCTCTTTTCAACTTCTATGGCATTCTTTCACCGCAATGAAATTCGTTTTGGCTCATTTCATTTGCAATTTACGAGCCATCTTTCTCCCTTCTTAACGTATTTCGGGGCACACCTTGCATTTCTGCTCAAGAGATTGTCATAATGCAAAAATAAACAAAAAGTCGTTTGGGTTTTGTCAAGAGTACGTGCTCAGTGCCCATCTGTGAGATGTCCTGCTGCTTGTGGCATTGTCCCGAAGGAAGTTTTACGACCTACCGGACAGTCTGTTGCGTTGTGCATTGTCCTCGCCGACTAACAGACTTTTTGGCCACAATCCCAGCCCGAGGAAGCCAAGCAGCCATTCGAGACTGAAAACTACTAGCAGCGGCAACCCAACCCCATCCCATCTATTTGTTGACATTTACGAGGCAATTTTCGAAAAGCCATTAAATTCTTTTAGCTGAATATGTACCGCCAACCCACTGCTGGGAGCATCGCTTTGGCCTAGTTTGATTAGCCTCGATTTGTGTGTATGACCACAAAAAATCTACTACACTCATCTTCTATCTTCAATGGGAGACACTTATGTGTTGGTTTTTGCATATGCTATAGGCTCCCTGGGTGGCTGCATAAGGATCTCAGCTGGAGGTAGGCACATTTTGCAAAGGAATCTCAAGCATCCTTTATTGATACCCCACAATGGGTTGCTATGTTATAGGGGAAGTTGAAGGTTTTGTTGTATTTGTTTTATGGTTGATTCTGTCATACAAGTAAATGTTGTATTTCTTTGTTAAAGTTTTAAGAGTTTTTTGTAAATTAATGGACATTTATAAACTGAATAATTTAAAGATAAATTAAGCAGGTTTCTACTATTCTTACATTTATAAATTTATATATCAACCCCTTAAGTATAAAAATATTTTTTAAATAGGTTATTTTGTGTAGAGTATACAAAAAATTAAAACGTCTGATTTAAAGTTTTTCTTATACAAAAAAAATAAAAGCTCTTAGAAACTAAACCCTTCACAAAACACTTGTTCACTTGACAGCTCAAGTTTTTAATTAGTTTATTCTACTTTAACTTGACTTTTTTGGTCGCTTTTAAGTGTGTAAGATAATTATATGGAATCCCTTTCATAGTTACCTCCTTGCCCTTTAAACCAACCCCTCAAACGAGTTTTAACCACTTAACTGGTTCTCGAAATCCCCTCTTTGAAGTGCCCCACATTGCCGGAGCTCACCTTAGACCAACTTTAATTGCCTACGCTTGTTTTTGGGCCTTCTGAGTGCTTTCAGGCCTCACCTGCTTCCACCAATCCTGCCACAGGGCTAATTGAAAGACCGAGAGCAAAGCTTTGCTTTTCATTTTCCACACTGGTGAAAGACGTAAATATTTGCAATCTCGGTTGGGCAACCCTTTTGCGCCAAGGACTGACTGCCTGCCAGAAATTGGGGTTAATTTAAAATTTATGATGCACTGAATTGTTGAACACTCGAATTAGGATTCATTAGGGAGCAGCTCTGAAGGGGGGGGCACATAAATCATAGAGTGCCAAATCATAGGATGAGATAAGATACAAAACGGACTGTTACAAAGAAAGTACCTCCATATGGTATATCCTTTTGTTTACTCAAAGAAGCTGTGCGTCGTTGTTTTCCCTCTTGTTGCGCATTAAATGGGTTTTAATTTGAAACGTAGTAAGATCGCGACTTCTGCGTCCTGTGCCCCCTTCCGTGGCAATTGTCCTGGCCAAGTCAACGGTGAAAACGAGATGAGAAAATTCAAAATACCCAGCGCAAGGCTTCGCTGTAATTGAGCAGCGCAATTTCCTGAAAATCGCACGCGAAGAAAAGGTGCGTTGTCCTGTAAATGAACAGCCGCCACCGGTAAAAAAGAAATATAGTATAGTAGGCAAAAAAAGAAAAGGATGCGGCAGAAGGTTGCAAGGATGCGGCTCCGTTTCGTACGCTTTACTTTTATTTTTTCAATTAAGGTTGACATGCCCCGCGTGTACTCGTCTCGAATTTGTTTCATGAGCCAAGTCAAGCTGAAAATTGCGCATTTGCTGCGAGCTGCGAGTTGCAGATGGGTTGCCAAGGCAGTTTCATCCTCGAGGCCTGTCCAAAGTTTTGCCTAACAGGATTACAACCTCTACTTGCAGTCGTCTGTGTGGCTGTAACTTGCTTGCCTCGTCTGCAAGTTGGGCTTATCTCCGCATTTAAGTCTCTCTTCCCCGAGGTGGCAATGATGGGAATCAATCAATTTGTTGCTCTGCTGGCTGCTCTAATTGAGAAATTCCTAGAAAGTGGGTTTGGGCGGGAGTTTGGGAGGGAATTAATGAATTATTTTCTACCCAGGAATTGAAGTTGCTGAGCCCATTCAATTTGTTTCATTACTTTAATGAATTTTAAAGTAATCTCTTAAGCTTAAACCAAGAAAGAGAGTGAGAAACCCCAAAATTTGTAGGCAAGTGAATTTAAAATAGTTTTTTAATATTGAATTTATTTTTCCTCTCGTTCTTGGAGTCAGATTTATTGCTAATCAACATACGGTGTCTGTTTCATATCTGCTGGTACCGCTAATGAAGCCAGCCCACATGTGCGTTAGCTTTACTCTTTCACACTCAGACAATCCAGCCATCCATCAATCAATCAGTCATTTCAATTACGTTCCTTAATCCTTGCCTGCAATGCACAAGGAGGACCTCGCAAATACTGAATATATGACTTATTAGTCTTTTGACAGCTGTCAAACCAAGAAATGCAGACACTTGCAGTTGGTCGCGATTGTGAATCCCTGTTCCCTATTCCTGTTCCTATTCCATATCCAAATCAGATCTCAGGCCACAGCAAGCTGCTCCATTAACATGACAAAGAAGTAGGTGTCCTGCCGTTTTCCTTGCGAGTTCTACCACCATTTGAACTTCCAGCAATGGACAGCTGTTGCAGGGCATATCTTTGATGTGACACTTTTGTCAAATGTTTACACCTTTAACCCTTTGGCGCCATTGTCTTACGGGTGCTGGGGTTAAGACCCTCGAATCGAAAAATGCTACAAAATATAATCCGTGTTCGAATTGTTTACGATGCTTTGTTAATTTTATGTTTCATTAGGGGCATTTGTTGGGATTTTATGGGCAACTTGAGTTCAATGCAAAAGGTATCTATAACAGCGAAAATAGATAGAGCATATATAGAGTATGTGAATATTAATACCTCCAATTACAAAATTAATTTACAATCTAAAATAATATATACAAAAATTGTTGTATTTTCATAGTTATCCTGTATGTTCTTTAGTTCCTAAAAAACCATAGTTGTCAATGAAGTACTATTTACAAAAATTGCAAATTGTAACATATACTTTTTCTACCATCATCAATTTTTTTTTTCAAATATTCAATAATATTTCTGTGAAAAGTTTTGTACAAACTTCGTCCAACTCATTTGCAATACCACACAACCATGACGAAATAAAGTTATCCCCGCCTGTCAGCAGCTATGGCAACAATTTCAAACCCATCTCGAGTCATTCATCAAAATTATGTCAAATCATGCAAGCGGCTGTAAAAAAAAATCCCAAAAATCCAGCATGAGGATAAACAAAAAATGCAGGAGAAAAAGAAAAGGGAAAGCGGTAAATGCTAATGAAAATCAATGCAAAACTGCAGAAAATTCCGTGCAACCGCCAAGACAAGCCATCAGTCGCATCATCCACGGCGCATGCGCAGCTGCCTCAGGACCACTCGCATGAAGCTGTCATGTTTCTGGGCAGGCCACACCGCAGTCATCCTCATCCTCATCCTCATTTTCATCCTCTTCCGACAGACAACAATTACAGTTTACCTCCGCCCAACTACTGCAACGTCATTCCTTGTCCCTGGACTCTTCATATTTTCCTTGCGGCTGCCTTCAGCTGATTTGCATTTTTAATCTCATAAGGATGTGCTGCCAGGCATTGTCCTTCGAATTGTGATGTATTTTTTTTTTCCTCCGTGCGGTTTTACTCAAGCTGCAAGCCAAGACGGAAAAAAATCTCAGTCAGCCAGCGGAAAAAAGAGAAGAACGTCAGCCCCCCTGGTGTAGGGGTCTTCCTTTCTGATCTACATATGTTTAATCCTGGATTTCTGACACGACCGACGAATAGCTGTCCGTTTGGCCCGCCCCGTGTGAGAGTGTCCGTAATCCTGGCTGTCTTGGGACGCCTCATCCCGTCACGTTACGCTTGAATAATTAGACGTAATTAAAGTTCCTTTCACTGCACGATTCTCAGTT